AACAACAACAAAACAACTGGTAGGGGGGTTGTTTTGTGTTCAGTATGCATGCTTTCTTGGTAGGAATTCTATGGTAATCTACACTCCAAAAGAAAGGCATGATGTCATTAACAACAAAGTCCACACATCCGAGGGAGCATGACTTTGCAGATACACACACACCCTGTAGGGTGCTAGGACACTGAGGCCTCCATTGAGCCCACTTCCAACTAATATCAGACTTAAACATGTTATTTACCTTTTTTTTTTAAACCACCTTCCTTTTGCTATAAGGTCACATGTATCACCTGCCTACATAAAAACAAGCCAAAGGAACTGCAGCAAGCAGATTTGTCTGTATAAACATGATACAAACGCAGACTAACTATAACATCATTGGGAGAGAAAAAATTAAATATGTACCAAAAAGCAGTAAGTGATCCTTTCAATCTTGATGTGGTCTTTGTGTATGAGGAGAAGGAAGAAGAGGAAGAAGAGAAATCAGTTGAGACTAAGAAAATGGAGGTGAAATGAGAAGTCAGAGCCAATAGGAAGTGTTGGCCAAAATATTTATGTTGTAATACTTCAAGCATTGATAGCACTTTTCCCTCTGCCTGTATGTATTATGAAGTTCATATTTAAGAAACACATCCATCTTAAACTCAACATAGCATACATTGATAGCTTCTTGGCAGAAACAAGAAATCAGGGAAGGTAAGAATTAGGGAGAAGGTGACATCACAGGGTCTACGGCAAAGATTTGTGGAGAAATTTAGCTCTGAGTTATGCAATCACCAGACTGCTAGTGACAGAAATCAACTCTTGTTTTTTGTTTTCTTCTGATGGGGGAGGGTGGAGAAGAGATGGGGAGACCTTTCCATTCCTTTGCTGTATTTCAACTTGGTGCTTGAAGTTACCATCCTCCAAAACCTACAGAAAACAGGCCATCCTCCAGTGACACTTGGCCAGAGGTATGGTGATGTTTTAACTGATGGACAGATGTCACCAAGGGCTGCGTGGTGAAATTTTTTCTTAAAATCGCCAGCCCCTTTCTCATTTAGCACTGTCAGTTAAGAATTTGTGTTCTTTCACAAGGATGAAAATTGCTACCAAACAAACACATAAACAAGCATAAGCCGAGGCCAATCAACAGAATTCCCCCAACTGAAAAGGTTCAAAACCAATTCAGGGTTCACAAATGAAAGTCAAGAAACAGGAAATAAACAACACACAAACGAAACCCATCCTATGGACAGTGAGCATCAAACAAAAACCACTGAACAATAGCAGCATGCTGAGGGAGGAGGCAAAGTCCTATAGTCTAACTGAACGCTAACATAGTCTAACTGAACGCTAACACAATAACGTAGACTCAACAGCTGAAAGGTTATTATGGCCCCGGCAGTTATCCAACGGATTTGGAAACCCAAGATATAAGCAGATGATAAATGCACTACTACAAGACTGCACAAAGCCAAAAGCCCAGTGACACACTAGGGATACTCTGAGGATACGCTAACAGACAGCCTATAGAATCCTACTTAGGCAAAGATCTGCTTCACCGCACAGGACAGGTCCTTGAGGATAAGTGTGCGTCCCTAAACTACTAAACAGTAACCTGAGCTGGCAACTAATTCCACCTCTCTGGGCCTCAGTTTCCTCATGCTTTGTTTTTTATTTTTTATTTTTACAATAAGAGAATGCAGTATAATCCTGGGGGGGGGTGGAGGCTTCCCAAATCTAAGATTCTATAACCAGTTTGCCACTATTTATGTAATGCAAATTACGACCCACAGCAAGACAAGCAGGAAAAATGGGCACAGGTCCTTGAGAAAGAGAATGGGTGTCTCTTTTTGCCTTTAGAATCCTTGTGGCTTTCGTTAATGCCAGCTTCCTAAGCGCTGGCGCTTGTTTTTCTCCGCCTTTCCCATCACTGCTGGCTACAAGTGTTTGCAAACGCCTCCTGCTCTGCACAAGTTTTTTGATCACCCTGACCATCTTGCCAGATTCCTTTAGCCTCAGACCAGCTTTTGTGATAAGACAGCTCTCCTTCCGACTCCCCCTATCTACCCCCGACACCAGGAGCACTTTTTTTTTCACTCTTCAACCCTGACTGGGGGCGGGGGAGGGGGAGACGAGAGAGAGAGAGAGAGAGAGAGAGAGAGAGAGAGAGAGAGAGAGAGACAGACAGACAGACAGACAGACAGACAGACAGACAGACAGACAGAGACACACAGAGAGACAGAGACTGGGAGGGAGGGAGAGAGACAGAGAGAGAGAGACAGAGACAGAGACAGACAGAGAGAGAGAGAGAGAGAGAGAGAGAGAGAGAGAGAGAGAGAGAGAGAGAGAGAGAGAGAGAGAGAGAGAGAGAACAGCCAGCATCCCACCACCACACGTACAAGCCCAGGCCTGGCAGGTCCTGACGTGGGATCCCGCAGCCCAGAGCCTTATCAAAATGTTTTATTTGTTGTCTTGACTCCTTATAAGGCACTATTTCTTGAAGCTTTGCTAATACCCCCCACCCCAGTGGGCACCTCCGGTTCATCCCTCTCCCCAGAGTCTCCGGAACCCCACTTTGGGGGAGGATGATAATAAGAAGAAGAAAAACTGGGAGAGAGCAGAGACTCCTCAGAATTGCAACAGGAAGGTGTGAGGCTGCCGGCAGCAGTCCCCCTCGCTCCCAGGGGATCGGCCCTGGGGTGTCTCTCACACACCCATCATGACACGCACGCGCCAACACTTTCCACGGCATCTACGGCGCCCCCCCGTCGCGGCCTCCGCGCGCCCCCTTGGCGCCCCCCGCCAGCGCCCTGGGCCCCTCCGCAGCCGCCCGGCGCGCGGCCCCCGCGGCCTCCCCACGGCCCCGGAGCGATGGCGGCAGCGCGGCCCTGCCCAGCTTCAAGGCAGTAAGAGCACGGGGGCCCCGCCCGTGCTCCCCGGCCCGCGGCCCCACGCCGGGTGCAGCTCCTACCTCGTTCTGCCCCACGGGAGCCAGCGGTTCCTCCAGCCCCACACGCTCTCTCGCGTCCGCTCGCTCCCTCCCCGTGCAGGACCTCCGTGCGTCGTCGCCGGCGCTCGGTCCCCGCCCGGGGTGACGGTTTGGGCCGCCGACTCTCCTCCCGCCGGGGCCCACGGGGGCGCGCGCGCCGCTCTCGCGCCCAGGCTCCGGGGACGCGCGCCCGCCCGTAGCCCCGAGCGCGCCCTGCTTCCTGGTTCCTCCCAGCGCGTGCTCCCCAGCCCCGAGGTCCTTTCGCGCCCCCTGCGCGGCCGCCCTGCGGGGCCCCGGAACCCTCTGCGCGCAGCGGGGCGCTGTGGCGCTCTCGCCCGGGGCCTGAGCTGCGCGCTCCCGCTGCTCGCCGAGCCGCGCCCGGACGCCCGGCACTTGCTGCTTTCTTTGGGTGGGGGCGACCACCGCTCGAAGGAACGGGCCGCTGTGATCGTGGCCATTGGACACCCCCTCACCCCCGCCTCCGCGACCCGCCCACCTCCCTCCCGCCGGGAACCAGGCCCGCGTTCCGGGTCCTCTAGCACTCAGGCCGAGGGCAGAAGTCCATGGTAACCCCGATCAATAATTATCCCGGGCTTGTTCCCCGGAGGGTGGCTTAAATCTGAGTCCCTTGTCGCACCACCCCGACGAGCACAAACTGGATCGGGCTGACTGGATCGGTGGACTTCTCCTGGGTAAATCTATGGGTCACAGGGGAGATGCCTTCTTCCCTGGGAATTTTTGCCGGCTACCACTAGTCAAGGTTACATGAGTGACAGGTTTATCCAGGGCCTTCTGTGTCCACTCCAGGAGTAGAGGGTCTCCATGATCTTTTCCCTGATGTTGGGGAGGGGGTGCTGTGTGTGAGAGAAGGCAACCTGAGTCTCCCATTCTCCTGAGCTCCATCTCCGGAGCTGGCCAGTGGTTTCCCTGGCAACCCTCCAAGAGCCAGCCGGGCCAGCCTGGAAGCAAGGCACATCGGAGGTACAGAAACCCAGCTGCAGGGGCAAAAGTGGGAGGACCCCTTCCCAGTCCTACATGAACACCCAGGACACCCGTTCTCTACAATTTGTTCTGCTCAAATTTTCCCTAGCCACGCACGACCAAGAGGCAAGAAAAACACCAGCTACAAAGGTTTTGGGGTCTCCAACTGATCACAAAGCCCTCTGCTCCTGCCCTACAAGATGGGCAGGGAGCCTGGAGCTGGAATAGGAAGCTGGATGGAAGCAGCGGCCGACCCCAACCCCAACCCGGCAGCCAGCTTATGATGTGTTCAAACTTCAGGGCACCTTTCTCCTTTCAGGCTCCATACCTGCATGCCGGCTGTCCCTTCTTCCAGGAACATACTCCTTTCTGTGTGAGGCTTGCTCTAGGGCAGTGGTTCTCAACCTTCCCAACGCTGCCACCCTTTCTACAGTTCCTCATGTTGTGGTGTCCCCCAACCATAGAATTATTTTCGTTGCTACTTTGTAACTGTAATTTTGCTACTGTTATGAATCCTAATGTAAACAACTGTCTTTTCTGATGGTCTTAGGCGACCCCTGTGAAAAGGTCGTTCATCCCCATAAGGGTCGTGACCCACAGATGGTGCTCTAGGGCCTAGACTGTTATTTTCCCATTTCTCACCACATGCCATGCCTTATCACCATACCTCTTGTATTGAAGAACAATTTCTTATTAGCATGTGTCTCCTCCAAGGGCAGACACAATATCCTGTTCACCTTTAAGTCCCCCCACCCACACCCAGCCCAGTGTAGACACCCAGTCAACATGCTATACCTTGGAAAAGGCAACTACAAGGACTATGTACACGTCAAGAGCACAAGGTTCAAAAACAGTCATACCATTGTGAGCATTTTTCTGCCTTATCTCTATTTTCACTACATAGTAATATCAATACTGTCTATTTCATGGCATCCTGAGAATCGAATGAGCTAAGAGGCGTGAGATGCCTCAAACACTGTCAAGCTCTGTATTTCTGTTAACTGTTATTGTTATTAACGAGAGCTAAGGTTTAAAGCCCTTTTTCTAAGACTGGATAAGGTCTAGGACTCAACTCAGCTACCACTCTACTCATGAAAACCATGGCATATCTCTGACTGCTCCCTAGGTAAGCCAGTTATTCCTGTGTTTGGAGACACAAAGGATGGAATGTTCTGTGGCTACCTCAACAAAACAGATGGCTGTCATTCCAGGACAGGAAGAAAAATCCAATGGCTTCCTCCCCGCTTGACAATTCAGATGAGTTTGGATACCTCTTCTTTGGATCATAGGACCACGCTTCTCTAAGTTGTGAGGACATCAATCTTAGGACCCAGAAAGTGCTGGAAGGAAATTGAACAGGAAAGTGGGACCCTGGAAGATTCTGGAAAGATACCTGGGGGTGCAGAGATGACCGCTGCGGGCAGCTCTCAGTCCACTCCAGCCTGAACAAGAGAAGAACCTCAAGGCCTGTGACGACACACCCTTCTGTTCTCGGTGGAGCCTCCTTCCCTCATGCTCAGGCTGCCACAGAGTACAGCTCCTTCATTTCACATCCTCCCTTCATAGCCACAGGGAGATCATGAGACTATCTTCTTGAAACGTAATTGAAACCACAACCATGATCCCCTTCAGCCAGAGACCCATGTTTATGTGGCTTCCCTCTAAAGACGGCTCTGGATCCCAGGAATCAGTCTGGCCCCGGGGAACCACCTGCCACACTCCAGCCAGGGAAGTGCACTCATGGGAATTTCCCTTCTTTGGTATGGGAAGAACAGGTCTGTAGAGCCAGAGAGGTGGCCAGACACTTGGCAGACAGGACACCAGAGACCCCAGAGTTCTAGGGCTGGCAGAAGCTGTCACAGTCGATGGCTCTGGTGGGATTTAGGATTGCTTCCGCTTAAGAGTAACAGTTAGACCCTCATCCAGCTTTGCCAGTTTATCAACCATGTGTCCTTGCTCAAACTACTCAAAGTCTGAGAGCCTCAGTATCCCCTCATGTATAAGTCATAGTTGGAGGGGGTGACGCAAATACAATCTTTCAGGGTACATGCAAGACCCTAATAACAGTGGGTGGGCCCCCAGAAGGTCCATGAAGAGCAGGGAAAGAGAATCAGTTATTCTTTATCCTTTTTTTTTCCCGAGACAGGGTTTCTCTGTATTGCTTTGGAGGCTGTCCTGAAACTCGCTCTGTAGACCAGGCTGGTCTCGAACTCACAGAGATGCACCTGCCTCTGCCTCCCAAGTGCTGGGACTAAAGGCGTGCGCCACCAACACCTGGCTCTATTCTCTGTCCTTTTGGACCTTCTGCCTCTTATTCCTTGAGTAGTTAGATGGATGTTTTTGTTTTTAAAGGAAAAGGTAGGCAATGTGCCTGGGTGTGCTAAGGCAGTCCTGTGATCCTGGTACTTGAGAAGCAGCGGCTGGAGGCTCACTGCAAGGTTAAGCATGGGGGGGGGGTCAGAAAGGCAGAAAGAAAGACAGACAGACGAACATGCTTATGAAACTAGCTAAGCATGTTGTCTGGTTTAAGGACGGCATGCGATAATGACACACTTTCTTTCATTCTCTCAACTTAGTCCCAGCCAGCTTGTGGGGTCAGTAGGGAGCAGTTTGTTTTTGTTTTGTTTTGTTTTGTTTTTTGCTGAGGGGAAGGAGAGGAGTAGGGAGGGGAGCAGAGTGATGGAGGTGTAGATCCAGGCAGGACTCACCACCTGGAGATTCTCAGGCACTCCTGTCTGGCACCTGTGTACCTCACCTATCTGGGCACCCTTCCAGGAATAGTTAAGGGGTGGCTCTCTGGAAATCTCAGGGGCCCCTGTGTCTCCTGGGACAGGGTCACCATGCCCTCTACACCCAGAGTCCTGGGGCAATGGTGCATTAACCAAGGGAGGGCGTGGCTGATGCAGAGGAAACAGTGCCAGCACAGTCAGTATCTTGCTGGCTTGCAGGGCAGGTTAGGAACTCCAAAGTCAGGTCAGCAGCAAGCAAAAATGCTGCTGCTGCTGCTGCTGCTGCTGCTGCTGCTGCTGTTGCCATGGGCTGGAAAGCAGTTCAGTAAGATGTGAGCAGGCATAAGCCAGGACTGTAAAAAGCAGAGCCCTTGTGGAGGCTCTGGGTTGGGGAGAATGATCTGGGATATGCCCTGAACTTGGAGTCTCAGGAAGCCCTGAGCTGTTTTGGGAGGCTTCTTATCCAACAAGTATGTGTAAAGCCCCTGTTCTGAATAAGCAGTAGGGCACAGTCCCCCCAAAAAACTGAGTAGGGCTAGAAGAAGGGTCACACAATCCACATAATGCCAGGCGCTATGGCTGAGTGTCAACTGGTTGGTTGCTGGTTTGAGACAGAGTCAACCCAGGTGGTCCTTGACTTTATTGTGTAGCTGAAGCAATTCAGTCTCAGCCTCCCAGATGCTACCATCCCCAGCCTTGTGACTGAGTCTTAACAGAAATCCTGACAGATGGGTCTTGCTGTCCTCCATTTTTGAAAGGGGGTGCTGGCCTCAGTGAGGTAGAGTGAGTTGCACAGGGCAGAGTCAAGGTGTGTGTCAGGTCTATATGACTCTAAAGATTTTGTGTTTTCTTCTAGATCACCCAGACTCTGTGAACAAATAGAGTTTCAGCAATGAGCTAAAGGTGAGTGGATGGGGGGAGCGGGGGTGGAGAAAGGGCTTTGGGTTGAAAAGGGTTGCAAGGGAACTCGGGTGACTGAAGTCCAGGGAAAACCCATGCTTGGGGCTGAGCTCAGCAGTACCAGGAGGCTGGGCCCAAAGCCAAAGCAGAGGGCTGGGGCTTGGGCTCAGCCTTCTTTTGATGTTATGGTCTCCATTTGCTCCTGGAATGACAGAGCCCTAGTTTGAAGCTTGGAGCACAGGAAGCAGGCAAGGGCCATGTGGGTGAGTTGGAGATTTAAAACACCAGGGAACAATGAGAAGCAGACAGTAAGAAAGCTACCCCTTGGAGTCATGCCGAAGGAAAGTGGCAGCGCGCTGGGGGGTGGCAGGGAAGGGGCCCTCTCTCACATCCCCCCAGAAGACTTGAGGTTGAGTATGGTCAAGGCACAAAAGAGTTCTTGTTGGGCTGGAAGGAGGACAAACTAGCTCAGCGGGAAGAGGGGCTGATAGCCATCAGGTGGAGGACACAAAGCCAGGCTGGACTGGCTGCTCAGAATCATGGCCAAACCCACTCCTGCCCATTCCACTCTCTCCCACCATGTTCCTGGCCTACACCTGCTGCAGGCAGGGTGTGCAAAGAACAGGTATCTTCCTGCCTACCTGGCCAGAGAGGAGATGGGCACCCAGTGTAGTATCTGCGTCCTCCTCTGTCTAAAGTACCGATCTGACTCCCTCTCCTCTGGGTAGGTGGGCATGGCAGCTGGGCAAAAGAAGCAAGATTCCCACTCTCCACCAAACCACCCAGGCTAGTCCCCCACCCCCTTCTATTCCCAGAAACAAAGGACAGTCACTGTGCCTCAGGCAGGGCAGCCTCTGTTCTCTTGGTGAGTTCTCCGTACACTGGCTTCTCTGAAGAATGTTAGAAACCAGGGAACAGAAGCAGAAGGTGGTTCACCCCAATCCCGAGGCCCCTTCCCCTTGTCAGCATCCACAGAGAAAACACACACACACTCCCCAACTCACACTCTGGCTTCATGGTCAGTAACAGAACAGCAATTCTACAGAGATGTGGAGGTGCTGAGCGCTGGTATGTGGCCAGGGCTGGGACTGGCTACAGCAGAACTCAGATGGTATGAAGGAGGATGTTTAAGAGCCCCAGGGGTGTCTGGTCTCCATTTCCAGCTACAGGACACAAACACTTCCTGGGACACCCTAATGTTCTTGGGAACACCCCTCTGGCTCCCAAGCAGCAGAAACTCTCCTTGAAGAGGAGGCTGAGCAGAAGAAACAGTGGTGATTTTGTTCCACCTGCCTACCCTGGGCACAGTGAGGCCAAGGGAGACCTCTACCTCCATCTATTCTCCCTAACTTTGCAAGCCTTTCAGACTACCCTGGGCTCCGAGGACAAGGCAAAAAGGCCACTTAGTATTACCTTTCCCTTCTCTATAAAGTCAAACCTACCTTAACACGACACATGCTAACACCGGCTCATCCTGTGCACTAAGCTCCACTTAGAGTGATGCAGGAGCTACTGTTAATACCATAGAACCATCTGGTAGGCCAGCCAGAGGAGACCTCCTCACTCTACAGGTGTAGCCTGGGCTTGGAGGTGGCACACCTAGGCATGGTCACTGAGACCCTACCCAACAAGCTGTTGGTGGTGGCAACCACATACAATACCAGACATATAGTTTCAGATAGGTCGCTTTCATGGATGAATCACTGGCATGATTCCAGCCCTGCTTTCCTTCCAAAATCATTGGCAGGCTTGGTTGAGCTACCTAGCATGTTAGCACATAATGTGTCATGATTCAGGTCAAGATGGCGTGGAGGGGGATTTGTCTCTGTGTGATATTTTGGGAGTGTGTGCATGTGTATGGTACACACATATATGGGTACATGTGTATATGGGTGCACATGTATGTATGTGAACACACACATGTGGAGGTCAGAGCCTTGCTTGTTGAGATGGAATCTCTCCCTGGGACTTGAGAAAGTTGACTATGCTAGGATGGTTTAGACAGTGAGCCTCAGGGACCCACCTAGCTCCACATCCCTAGTGCTGGGACTGCAAGTGCATGGCACCATATTGAGTTTTCATGTGTGTCTGTGTATTTGATTTATTAATCCCTCCTGACTCCACTGAATATTACAAGCCAGAATTGGGGATGAAGCCCAATCAGAGGGAAGAGGCCAGCCTCTACTTCCAGTTCCATCCACATACCAGTTTCTAACCTTCCTAATCCCTTTCCCCCAGGCCTCAGTTGTCTGCCCTAGAGCTCAGTCCCCGAAAACCACCAGGGTGCTTCATGGTGGGAAATAGCGACCAAACCAAAGGACTGAAAGAAAGAAAAAATGACACTTCTGGGTAGTTGTGTTACCCAGAGTCATAACCACAGTGATCTCTGCCCCCAAAACACTCTTCCCTCCTCGGCTCCCATCTTGGGAAAGTTATAGAAGTGTCCTGTATCCCACGGCCCACTGACAAAACAAGGCATAGAAAAAGTCAGAATCAAGCAGTGAAAGACACAAGCCGAACTGAAAAAATGTCTCAGCAGGTAAAGTCTCTCGCCAAGCAAGCTTGGCAACCCATATAAGGTTGACAGAGAGGCATTATTCCATGATTGTTGTCCCCTAACCTCCACACAAGTGCCACAGCATGTGCACACACAATAATTAAAGAAAAAAAGAGCCAGGCAGCGGTGGCACACACCTTTAATCCCAGCACTTGGGAGACAGAAATAGATAGATGATTCTCTGTAAGTTCGAGGCCAGCCTGGTTCCAGACAGCCAGGACTACACAGAGGAACTCTGTCTCCAAAAAGAAGAAGGAGGAGGAGGAGGAGGAGGAGGAGGAGCAGGAGGAGGAGGAGGAGGAGGAGGAGGAGGAGCAGGAGCAGGAGCAGGAGCAGGAGCAGGAGCTGGGTGTTGATGGCGCATGCCTTTAATCCCAGCACTCGGGAGGCAGAGGCAGGCGGATCTCTGTGAGTTCGAGACCAGCCTGGACTACCAAGTGAGTTCCAGGACAGGCTCCAAAACAATACAGAGAAACCCTGTCTCAAAAAACAAACAAAACAAAACAAACAAACAAAAACAAAAAAAAGAAGAAGAAGGAAAAGGAGGAGGAGGAGGATTTTAAAATAGGATTGTGTGGCTTAGAATGACCCACTGAGGAGAAGGCCAGAGACCAGCCAGGGAATGACCTGTGGGCCTGGGTGGGGTCTGGGGGGACATGAGTAGGCTCTGAAGACTCTTCTACTTGCTTTCCATTCTACTTGCTGGCACTGCCATCCTAGCTTTCTAGGATACAGGCCTAGCCACCATCTTCCCAGGAAGCCAACCCCCCCCCCAAGTCAGATGTTTGGTAGTAGCAGCAGACTTCTCTGCAGGTCCTGGGAGTGGGGTGTGGAGAAGCCGATGCCTGGAAGTGGGTGGGCATCTCCGTACTACCAGCTCCCAGGCGTTCAGATCAAGGGCATGACCGGCGTGGTTCTCTGCCTATAGAGTTAGTTCAGCAGAGAACTTGGGAAAACTAATGAATTAGATGAATCTGCTGTCACTTACTTCCACATTTGCCTGCAGTGAAAAACTGGTGGACACGGGTGCCAAGTGGGGTCCACCAAACATGGGGCAATGGGGTTGGATCTGCTGCTGATGGGTTCAAGACTCTGGCCAAGTCACTTCCTGTATCTGGCCTTTTATTCCCATTGGTAAAACGACCTTACCAGTCACTGCCAGCGTTGCCCGTTGATGTTCATCTGGAGCTGCAGGTATAATTGGCTCCCATCCAACCCATTGGACAGAGAGGAGGAGAAAGAGGGGGAGAAAGGACTGTGTTTCCTCCTCCAGAGCCCCTTCCCTACCTGGTTCCTGCAGAGCATCTGAAAATCAAGGTCCCCTCCCAATCTTCCTTACAACCCCCCCACACAAGTTTTCAATTCCTTTCCTCATGATCCTGCCAAGTAAAGTCACTGTGACCACACACAGAAGGTGGGGAGAACCCAGGCATTTCAACTTCTGCAGAAAAACTTCAGGTTTTCCCCCAACCTAAAGTAAAAAGAATAAAACTGGGGAGGTCTTAAAGGCCAGAAAGAGGGATTAGGAACTAGGAACACAGAGAAAAGATACAAGAAGGAATTAGTGAGAGAGGAAGCCAATGAGAAAGATTCCCCCAAGGCAACTGGGTCTTGGCCCAGATGGGCTGTGAGTAGGCAGTCAGGCTGGCCCCTCCTTTGGTACTGCCCATGCCAGCTGCCCGGCAGAGAGGAGGCCCAGAGGAGAGGGAAGCTGGGCAAAGGGGATGGCAGACTTCCAGCCTGGCCTTGTCCAACCCTTGGGCCTTGAGGGGGAACTCTTAGGGATGGGGACTCTGATCCAGGCAAAGCTCCAGGGAGCAGGTTGGCTGCCATGGCAAAGTCTGCAGGCAGATGTGAAATTGAGAAATGCAAAATACCCCTTCCTGGGCCTTTTATCAAGGTAGAACCAGCCTCAGATGGGCTCCTTCTAGGTGACGGAGGGAATGAATAGTTTATGGGTCACAGTCTGCTGATGAGGCCATGATGTGGCCACAGCGTGGTCCTGGGCAGGCCCCTTCTCTTCTCTGGATTGACATTTCTTACCTGCAAAGGTCGGAAAGGGGGTGGAAGGTTGAAGCATATGATTGCCAAGATCTTTCTTGGTCCTACTTCGAGGGGGAAGGTCACATAGTGGGAGTCATGCAAGGAAAGAAGTGGGGAGACCTTAGAGGTGGGCTTGGCTTTTCTGGAATCCCCAGTTTCTCTAAAGTTTTGACTCTGCAGGGTCATAGAAGCCACACCCACCACACCTGCTCTCTCTCTCTCTCTCTCTCTCTCTCTCTCTCTCTCTCTCTCTCTCTCTCTCTCTCACACACACACACACACACACACACACACACACACACACACACGAGTGCAAGCACACCATACTTTGTAAATCTACAGACAGAGACGATGACGACAGAGGCAGGTGGCATCCACAGGTAGCCTTTTTCTTCCTCCTCGTACTTCCCCCCCCCCAAGTTAACAAGATAGAACTGAGGCCCTAGTTTGGGATTTCCAGAGTTCGGGACTTCCCGGCACCCCTGGCTGCTCCAGCTCAGCTGTCCCCAGGACGCTCCCCCCCCCCTTGGAGCCGCAGGGGAGCACAAACCAGGGCTCCCGAGGGACCCCTTCGTCAAGGCGGTCCTCTGTACGGCGCCGCCCAGTCGGGTGGTCCGTCGGGTCCCCCCACCCCCCGTAACTGCAGCGCACTCGCTGGGGAGCAGGCGATCGAGGGCGGAGGCAAGGAGGGAGCGACGGCCGCTGGGAGGGGTGCTGGCGCGAGCTCGCGCGCTGTGTTTGGTCTATCGCAGGCAGCTGACCTTTGAGGAGGAAATCGCTGCTCTCGGCTCCTTCCTGTAGTAACAGCCGCCACCGCCGCCGCCGTCAAGAGCCGTCAGGAACCGTCAGGAGCCCGACCGGGAGCGACAGCTGCAGGCGTTCCGCAGCACCAGGTGGGTGGGTCGGTGTGGCGTCGCCCTTGGTGCGTGGATAGGGAATTTAGCCTGGGACCTAGCACCCTAGAGTCCCCTCCGGCCTGACACGGGACAAGCATCGGTCTGGGCTTCGAGTGGGAGCTTCAGAGGGATCATGGACAAGGAACCCGTGCAGGGGACAAGCCAGGGGTGGACGCACGCAGTGACACCGATACAGTCAGGCTCCACCTGGAGCGGGTAGACACTGGAGTGAAGCCCAGGGCTACTCTAAAGACAGTCGATCTCTTAGTCCTCTTTCCCTGACAGCCCCAGACACGTGCCTGAGGAGACTTGGACCTCGAGTGGCGGTCGCTGCATTGCCCTAACTTTTGGGTTGGAATAGTTTCCCTTCCCAGAAATTGAGAGTATGGGTCCGAGGCCGGGTGGGGAGAATTTTTGCAGTCGTTTCTAGTCGGGGGGACTGTGGGCTTCTGTCTCTGAAGTTTCTGTTTCGGTTTGTAGACCCCTTTAGTTTGGGGATGACACGATGGGATAAGGGGACAGAAGAGGGGAGGGCATCTGCCTGCCCAGATCCCCACGCCCAGCCTCGAGGGTTCCTTGTTGGAAGGGAAGGGTAGCCATCTCTCTTCCCGCACAGGAAAGCGTGCCTGGGGTGAGGGGAGGAGCCTGACCTCACCGCAGTCCTTAGGTCCTTTGGTGGCACTGCAGGGCACAGGCAGGCTAGAAACCTCTGCGAAACAAATAGCTTACCTTCTCCTTTAGGTGAACAGCCATGGCCGGCTGGATTCAGGCCCAGCAGCTGCAGGGAGATGCGCTGCGCCAGATGCAAGTGCTGTATGGGCAGCACTTCCCCATCGAGGTCCGGCACTACCTGGCCCAGTGGATCGAGAGTCAGCCCTGGTAGGTGTCCCATGCCCTGAACCTTCGCCTTCAGTGTGGGTCCCTGCTATCCAGAACAAAGGGTCTTCTCTTTGTGGTTTGGTATGACTCTGATTCCATCTGTCCTTGTGCGGAAGGGGTGGTGTCCCCGGGAAAGGGGAAGAGGGCAATGGGAGCTACCGAGGGGGAGACTTTTCTAGACTTTGATGCACAGCCGCCAGGAGCAAGCCTTGTGGGACTGCAACACCCTGAATCACTCTTGGTGCTTGATCTCCTTGGTACAGTTTTTCTCTCCTTGTGTTGTCCCAAGGGATGCCATTGATTTGGACAATCCCCAGGACCGAAGCCAGGCCACCCAGCTCCTGGAGGGCCTGGTGCAGGAGCTACAGAAGAAAGCAGAACACCAGGTGGGGGAAGATGGGTTTTTGCTGAAGATCAAGCTGGGGCACTATGCCACACAGCTCCAGGTGGGTGCGAATGCCTTCCTTCTGAAGGAAGGCCCCCTTAAGCTTTCTCTTCCAGCATCAGAACCCCTGGGATTTTTACTGGCTTGGCCACTGAGTCACCATGTGACCAGAAGCTTACTGGCAACTTTTCTTCAATTTCCCCAACCCCCTCTTTCTAAGTCAGACCTGTCAGATTCTTTTAACATTATTACAAAGCAAAAGGTGGGAGTGTGGGGGAGGGAGAAGAGGTTGTTTCAAGAAAGGGAGAGGAATGGGTGGAGCAGCAGTATGGACAGATCAGGCAGTAGAGACGGAAGGCAGAGCCAGGTGGACTTCTTCAACAGAAAGGAAGACTGGCAGAGCCCAGAAACGAGGGGACAAGGCAAACAGACATTCCCCTGGGGCTCATCTAGAGGCAAGAGAACTGCCCTGGAGCAAGAGTGGAACAAAAGGCTTTGAATCGAAGGCTTAGAAAGAAAAAATAAGCCCCCCCCTTTATATGGAGGAGGGCAGGGATTTTATGGAAGCAGGAAAGGGGTGTGGGTGCTATTCATGGTCAAGCATTTATCGGAACTCACTCGTATTTCTTAGAGAACCCCTCTTACATCCAAACAGCAGGATGCTAGGGAAATAAAAGCTCATCCCAGAAAAAGGGAGAAACAGCAGAAACCTGAGGGGAAGCACACTAGGAACCCAGGGCCAGGTGCCTAATGGAAAGTACCTTGATGTAGGCATCAGACACCCCAGTCTTGATCTCTGTCTGTCTGTCTGTCTGTCTGTCTGTCTGTCTGTCTGTCTCTCTCTCTCTCACACACACACACACACACATTTGCCTCAGGACACATACCTATCTGAGCATCAGTTTTCCCATCCATGACCTGGGAACAGTTTGAGTTTCTGTCATAGGCTTTCCATGCTTCAGAGAGTGAAGGCCGGTGGGAGGTTGGATGAGTTTTGTGTTTAGTGAGTTTCTAAGTCACCATAAACCGAGTAAGAAGTTCTGGGAGGGGAAGAAGGGCAAAGGATAGTTGGGGGAAACCAAGGGGTTTCCTGGGAAAAGCTGAGGCTGAAGGAGAGGAAGGGATGGCATTGTAAGGAAGCCAGCGAGGTCAGAACTAGGTGGCCATTGGTGGTTCCCGTTGTCCTCTTTCAGAACACCTACGACCGCTGCCCCATGGAACTGGTTCGCTGCATCCGGCACATTCTGTACAATGAACAGAGGCTGGTCCGGGAAGCCAACAACGTGAGTGTCTGTGGGTGTGGGAGAAAAGCTGGAGAGCAAACCATTTGACTTCCTCTCTAAATTCCACTTTGTTTATGTAACATGGATATGAGGAGAGCACAAAAGAAATAAAACACAGGGGTAGGTGTGAGAGGTGGTATATTTTATGCTGTGGTCAGAGTGAACCCCCCCTTTCGGGGCCAGTCCCTGGCTCCCCAAACCTCTATTTCTTCCTCTTTCATTTCCTTCCCTTTCTCTTCCTTTCTTTTTTTTTAAAGATTTATTTATTTATTACATATACAATGCACGCCTGCACACTAGAAAAGAGTACCAGATCTTGCTATAGATGGTTGTGAGCCACCATGTAGGTGCTAGAAATTGAACTCAGAACCTTTGGCAGAGCAGTCTGTGCTTTTAACCTCTAAGCCATCTCTCCAGCCCCTTTTCCTTTTTTAGAAATAAGGCCTATTTCTTTAACTGTGTGTGTTCAAGTGGGCAGGTGTCCTTGGAAACCAGAGGCATCAGATCCACTGGAGTTCCAGGCAGTTGTGAACATCTGATCTGGGTACTAGGAACCAAATTTGGGTCCTCTGCAAGAACAGTATACATGCTCTTCACCGCTAAACCATCTCTCCAGCCTCTCTTTTTTTCATTTTTCCTTTATATTCTCCCTTCTTTCTTTCCTGGATTCTAACAATGAAACCCGGGGTGGTGAACATGCTAAGCAAGTGTTCTCAAGATACATTCCCAGATCCCACTGCTGTAAAATGGGATAGTAATAATACTTGCATTATAAGATCATCATGAGGGTTAAACGAAACCATATGCAGGATAAGGATGGACAAGAAAATGAAATTTTAAACACACATATACAAAGAAATCTTTAAAATAAAATTTTTGCCAGGGGGTTGTGTCATATACCTTTAGTCCCAGCATTTGGGAGGCAGAGACAGGCAGATTTATGAGTTCAAGGACAGCCTGGTCTACAGAGTTCCCAACAGCCAGGGCTACACAAAGAAATCCTATCTAGAAAAACTAATAAATAAATAAATAAATATTAAAAAATAATAGCCAGTCAGTGGCACACATTTCTAATCCCAGCACTTGAGAATGTTGAAAAAGGGAGGTAGAGGCAGGTGGATCTCTGCGAGTTTGGAGCCAGCATGCTCTACATTGCGAGTGCCAGGACAGGCTCCAAAGCTACACAGAGAAACTCTGTCTCACAAACAAACAAACAAAAAATCAAAATAAATAAATAAATAAATGATATAGAAATAAAATAAAAAATTAAAACAAAGCAGTTTCCACCTAGAAGGAGTCCCAGCAAAGACCAGACTGAGTAAGCTAATTGCTAAAGAGAAGACAGTGCAGCTTAAGGTAGCATGCCCTGAAGGGGCCCAGGAGGAAAGAAGTAGACTTCTGTATCCCAAAGAAACAGCAGCATATGTGGGGGGAAGAAGGAGTTGGTGGTGCCTTATGGTTGGAGACTTGCAAGTACTTAATGGCGCTGGAGAGTGGAGGACCAAATGGGGTGTGCCAATGAACAAGGAGTCAGGAGCCAGGCACTGCATCTTCCAGATGCCCAATATTGCATCCCTGAGTTGTTGAAACTGCCCACATAAAAGACTCGAGCAGGGTTGAGAAACACACATCCACAGTATGGGGTTGAAGTACTTTTTTCAGGAGGATCTGCCACCAGAATGCTGCAGGCTGATGCAGCCTAGGTGCAGAGGCCCTGAGGCCAGCAGGCACCTTTCATGATGAAGGAGCAGATGTAGAAAGTGCATGTGCCTGCTGTGCTTTGGCCACAGGGAAACTAGGAGGACGCAGGCAGAGGCCACCTGTCAGGCTGACTAAAGGAGTTTGGATTTTATTTTAAGAACACTTAGTTGGAAAGTCCCCAACCACATGGTCCCTTCTGGACCAGATGTTCTAGGAATAATGAGATTCAAAAGAGGCATTCCTAAACTGAGCGTTGGTGACGCAGGCCTTTAATCCCAGCACTCGGGAGGCAGAGGCAGGTGGATCTCTGTGAGTTTGAGGCCAGCCTGGTCTACTAAGCTAGTTCCAGGACAGCCTCCAAAACAATACAGAGAAACCCTGTCTCGAAAAACCAAAAAAATAAAAAAAAGAGGCATTCTTGTTGTCTCTCCCATCACTTTATTTTGGACATCTCCAGGATGCCCTCCTCCCATGAGAGAGTTGCCTCTTCCCCTCCCTCCAAGTGTGAGTGAAGACAAAGGCTATGTGGGTCCAAGGGCCCTGCCTCCTACTGTGTCCCCAGCACTTAGCACAATCAGTGACGTTGGGTCAGTCGATAATGGTGGACCGAGGAGGAGGTGCAGCATCCTTGGGAGGAAGATCATCCACGTGACACCTGCCAGCGTTCAGTTCTAGTTTCTCTAAAGGAAATCTGATGGGCTTTTTCAACATTCTCAAGTGTAAAACCAGATCTGAAACAGAAATGTCTGCCTTGGAGTCTCCATTATTTGCCAGGCCACTCATTTCCCTTCTCTCTTCCCTTTCTACTTCAATTCGGGCATTGACTGTCCTGTGAACCTCCTTCTAAGCCTGCATTTGGAGTGTGGGGTGTCTAGTGTTGGCGCTCCCCACAGACTCAGGTTTTCTCCCCTCTTTTCTGTCTGGCACACTGCCCCTGTCACTTCTACTCAATCCATTCTGTCCCCAGTGCAGCTCCCCTGCTGGTGCCCTGGTTGATGCCATGTCCCAGAAGCACCTTCAGATCAACCAGACGTTTGAGGAGCTGCGCCTGATCACACAGGACACGGAGAACGAGCTGAAGAAGCTGCAACAGACCCAAGAGTACTTCATCATCCAGTATCAGGAGAGCCTGCGGATCCAAGGTGAGGCCCGCATCACGGTCCAGGATGCCATGAGCATCTTGTGGGCGGAAGGAAGAAACATTTTGTGATCTCCAGTAGGAAGGGAGGCTCACCATCCCTGGAGCATTTTGCCCAAAGCCTCATAAGAAACATCATGGCTTCCAGGGGGTTTGAGCCTCTGCTGTGGTCTTGGTTCTAGGCTAAGCCTTTGGCTTGCATAATACAAGGCACCCTCATGAGGAACCTGCAGAGGGCATAGCTTGGTGTCCCTGTTTTACAAGGGAAGTTTAAAGCGAACAAATAACTGGACCTAGGTTGCCTGTAAATTGCAGAATCAAACCTTAGCTACAGATAGGTCATAAAACTCCTGCATCTTCCTAAGCAACAGACTCCCCTTAGTCTAAGGCAGTCAGTAAAATGTGAGTGAATAAAAGAACATGGGCCAAGTATGCCCCAACCAGAAGGAGCACTTGGCATGGAGTCCACTGGTTGAGAAGGCTGAGAAGAGCTGGAATACCAGCTTTGCCCCTACTTGGAACTTTAAGGGGACCAGATCCTGGAGGCAAGGTGGCTGTAGAACTTCTGTCTCCTAGCTCTGTAATTTGTTAGTGGCTGCCACAATTAGGGTGTGGGGGAAGAGTTATCTCAGAAGGAATTAGCTCCAGGTACAGTGTGAGTTGTCTGGAGATTGACCCTAGAGATAGGCTGACTCTGATGTTCCATCCAGAACAGGCAGGGCTGTACTGCAGTTTCCTGTGCCCCTATCCTTGTTTCTTAGAGACGTAGTTATCTATTTTAATCCATTTATATGATTGAGATATATAAATGTACACTCAAAAGCCAACTACATATGCTTATATATACTTATCTACATAAAATATTATATCGGTCCCAGAAACTATTGGAAAGAGTGACTTTTATTTTGGTTGAGAGAGGTCTTGCAATGTAGCCCTGACTGACCTGGAACTCATTCTGTAGACCAGGCTGGACTCAAAATCATAGATATCCACCTGCCTCTGCCTCCTAAGTACTGAGATTAAAAGCATGGAAAGAGTACATTTTATTCTGTCTCTATGTATATTTTTCAAAGTTATAAATCTTCCTCTACAAAACTGCTTTATAGTCCCCAGCACACTTTCGGAGATGCTGTGTGTTCGTAGTGTTCACTTTGAAGTAGCCCTAATCTCTCTCATGATTAATCCTATTACCTGTATTTCATTTAGAAATGCATTGTTTGATTTCCATCTGTCTGCTATGTTTAGATATTGCACTTTTACTGGCTTTGATACTAACTTTTCATTGAATTCTACTTTGACTAGAGAACATCTCTTGTATGTTCCTAGAGCTTACAAATTTATTGAGACTTTGTCATGGCCCAGTATATGCTCTGTCATGGTGGATACATCTTGTGTGCTTGAAAAGAATGTGACTTCCATGGTTGTCTCTTTAAATAGCCACTACAAATTCAATAATATTAACATAAAAGGAAAATAAAGAAAAAATACCCTGTAATATATTTTCCAAAGCCAAATTTAGTGAGTAGAACATAAGCAGCTTTCATGTAGTCATGCCTGCATGACAATGTGCTGGTCAACAATGGAACGTGTTTATGATGTTCCATAACACATAGCCTAAAGTATGTAGTAAGCCATGATATCTAGCTTGTGAAGTATTCTGATATCTACACAATGACGAATCCCCCAATGATGCATTTCTCAGAATGTATCCACATCCTTAAGCGACTCCTGACTCTATTTGCGAATGTCTTTCGTGTGAGCCTTGATAAAACATAGCTAGCTGTGTGTTGCTTTCAATCTGGAAAATCCCACTGTACACTTGTAAGCTATCAAGAATGAAGGCTCAGGGCTGGGGGTGTGGCTCGGTTAGTAAGTTGCTTGGTAGTATGATGAGGTCCTGGGTTCAGTTTGTATAAATTGAACACGGTGGCCCATGCCTGTGATTCCAGTAACTGGGTGGTGGAGACAGAATGATCAAAAGTTCAAGGTCATCATCAAAGAAAGTTCAGGGCCAGCCTGGGATAAATCACATCCCGTTTCAAAAGCCAAAGGATAGAAGACTCAGGCTTGGTGGTGCCAACCTATAATCTCAGCACTGGGGTCAGAGAAGGGCTTGAGGCAAGAGGATGGGGAGTTTAAAGCCAGCCTGGTCTACATAGTGAAACCACACCCCCCAATCAAAAGACATGGCAGGGTAAATATGACCAAAATACATTATATACATGTGTAAAATTATTAAAGAGAAAAATCAAAATTATTTTAAGATAATAAAAAGTCATTATTACTCCAAATTAAAAACTTACCAGTTAAAATCTAAGATTTATTGGCAATGATTTTGCCCTTAGAGCAAATGTACAAGGAGAAAACTCAAACATTTTGTGAACAAATTCTTTTTGGCTGTATTGTTACACTTTTAATATACTATGCAAATTGACAAAAATTTCAAACAAAAGACAAAGCAAAAACTATGACAAAGCAATTAAGGTCTTCTGACTTTATGAAAAATGCCTTCCCTTTGTGGGTCTTTTCCGAGGGTCTCAGGCACTTGCCAGGGGTTCCTTGGATCACTTTCTGAGAACCATTGATCTTGGTCTTAAGATTTTTAAAAAAAATTACATTTACTTATTTATTGTGTGTGTTCATGCATGCTATGTACGTGCTTTTGGGTACATGCATATCATTGCAGGTCAGAAAACGGTGGGAGCTGGCTCTCTCCCTCTCTAACGATCCACCTCACCAGACTGATCTTTTTTTTTAGCTGATTGTTTCATCAGCTACTAAAAGAGAGCTATCATACACCCTGCCATGATTATGCAATTCGTTACTTCTATGACGCTTTTTGTAGCATTTCCTTTATGAATTTTGAAATTGTTAATAGGTGTGAGTATGAGCCGGGCGTTGGTGGCGCACGCCTTTAATCCCAGCACTCGGGAGGCAGAGGCAGGTGGATCTCTGTGAGTTCGAGGCCAGGCTGGACCGACAGCCTCCAAAACAGAGAAACCCTGTCTCGCAAAACAAAAAAACAAAACAAAAAAACAAAAAAAAAAAACAAAAAAATAGGTGTGAGTATGATTAGTATGCTTTTCTGATCAATTTATGATTATTCTGAATTTCTGGTCAGTTGCCAATCATTCTGACATTTCTGAAATGTTTTTCTTTTTTTAGGCTTTTGAGACAGAATTGTGCTATATAGCACAGGTTGGCTTTCAACTCATGATCCTCCTATCTTAACCTTCTAAGTGCCTGGATTGCAAATGTGCTTTGTCATGCCCCTTTCTTTCTCTCTCTCTCTCTTTCTTTCTTTTAGTATTTGTTTTAGTTTTATTCATGTATTTGTGCATCTGTGTGATCTGAAAGTACAGGCAGTTGTGAGCTAAGACATGGGTTTTGGCAATCAAACTGGGGTCCTCTGGAAGAACAGTAAGAGCTCTGTGGTGTTTTGTTTTGTTTTGTTTTTGTTTTTTCAAGACAGGGTTTTTCTGTATTGCTTTGGAGCTTGTCCTGGAACTTGCTCTGTAGTCCAGGCTGGCCTCGAACTCACAGAGATCTGCCTGCATCTGCTTCCTGAGTTCTGGAATTAAACGCATGCACCACCAACGCCTGGCCTCAGTAAGAGTTCTTAATTGCCCAGCGTCTATCATGCCTTTAAAAACAAACAAACAAAACAAAACAAACAGGACCTTACTATATAATCTTGACTGTTCTGGAACTAGCTCTGTAGATCAGGCTGGCCTTGAACTCACAGAGATCTGTCTGCCTCTGCCTCCCAAGTGCTGGGATTAAAGGCGAGCACCACTATTTAGGCTCATTCTTAAATTTCCTTTTTTTTTTTTTACTTCATCTTTTCTTTTCTTCTCTATATGTGTGCATGTGAGCCCTGGTGCCCATGTGCATTTCTGCATGTGGAGGCCAGAGGTTGATATCTTGCATCCTTCTCGGGTTTTCTCCACTGTAATTTTGGAGCTCGAAGCTTCAGAAAGAGATCTTCCTTCTCTGCCTCCTGCACCCCCTCCCACTCGATGCAACTAAGGTTTCAGATGAGCACCCTCATTCTGGGCTTTTATTACATGGGTGCTGGGGAAGCAAACTCAAGTCCTTATGTTTGCAAGTAAACACTTGAATCACAGAATGAGCTATTTTACTGGCCCCTTAGCCATGCTTTTAAAAAATTTATAATATATCAAGACTAGTTGTAACAGAGAAAGCTTTTTATCATGTATTGAGTTTTGCTTTGTATTTTTTTCTATTTTATTTTTAAACTCAGGCAGGCTCCAGCTTCACTATGTAACTGACAATGACCTTGAATTCCTGGTTCGCCTGCCTCAACCTCCCAAGTGCTGGGATTGCAGGCATGTGCCGCCAGCTACTGACAATCCATTTTTAATTGAGCTGTTTCCATTACCTGTGTACAGGTCTAGCTTTGGATTTTGGGTGAGGTTTGTATTTATATGTATGTGGTGTCAATTTGTCTTGTTTATCCTGCTCAATACTGCAAACAGAAGGTTGGAGGTGTAGTTCAGGAAAAGAGCATTTGGCCGGCATGCACAGAGTCCTGGACTTGATCTCCAGCGCTACACAAAACACGAAGTACTGGTCTGTTTGCAGAAGGGACGACCAGGTTACTCTACTGGAGCCAATAGTTGTCATGGATCTTTTGGCCTCCATCCCAGAAACCTGTGCAAATGGCCAAGAGAGACCTAAATGGAACTTAGAAGGGGAATCTGGACTAAGGTATTGGCCCTGCTGTCTTCAGCAGGATGTCGTGAGTCTGGACAGTACTCCTCCCACCCACCACACTGCAGGAAGATGGGAGCCGTATTCCTAAATTCTGGTTGGGAACTTGTCCTGGCTGTCTAATGCTGCTCTCGTCTGTCTCAGCTTGTGTGTCCCTGGGGCAAGGACCAGGTCAGTGTGACATGATACTGAGAGGTCAGCCAGGAACTTGAATAAGATCTGACAGTGTGCACAAATGCTTGACCAGACCTGAGTAAGAATTCAGGGAGGCTCAGGGGCCACTAAAGATAGTGATAAATGCCAGCATTCAGTGTCTTTTTAATGTGGGACAAGGGAGGGTTGCCAGCAGTGGGATAGACAGGCAGCTTCAACCCTCTATGTGTTTGATGTTGAGCTGAGCCAAGCTGCTGAGTTTGTTGTGTTCCTTGAATAACTGACCCATCTGTGTCTTGGGATTTCTTCTCAAATATAAGAAAGGTACTGGGCTGAGGGATGAGGATGTAGCTCACCTGGGGGAGTACTTTCCTCACATGAGGAAAGCCACTCAATTCCCAGTGATGGTTCCAGCACTTTCAAAGGCAGAGTCAGGAGAATAAATGCTCAATTATCCCCAGCTACATAGTGAGTTCGAGGCGATCCTCAGGTTCATGATCTGTGCCAACACCCACCCCCGACACACAAGTATACGCATACGAACATACAGACACACACACAGACACACACACAGACACACACACAGACACACAGACAGACACACACACAGACACACACAGATACACACACACAGACACACACACACAGACACACACACACAGACACACACACACAGACACACACACAGACACACACACAGACACACACACACAGACACACACACAGACACACACACAGACACATACACAGACACACACACAGACACACACACAGACACACACACACAGACACACACACACACAGACACACACACACAGACACATACACAGACACACACACAGACACACACACAGACACACACACACACAGACACACACACAGACACAGACACACACACACACAGACAGACACACACACAGACACACAGACACACACACAGACACACACACACAGAGAGTTAACCGTATTAGTACCTCTCTCGTCACCTGTTCCTGCCACTCATGGCCTTCCCAGCAACTGGTGGTGAGACACTGTCACCTCTTGTTCCTTATAAGAATCTTACTGATGGGATTCCAGGGAATCCTGGAAATAATTGTATCTGTCTGTCCATCTGTCTCTCCTTTCTTCTTAGTTGAGTGCTCAGCTGAGCCCAAGGTGACCCACCCTGGTCAGGCATCATGGGGATCATGCAATCCCAACTGCATTCATTCCTCCTGGGAAAACAGCTGAACGGAAGGAATGAATGTTTGAGATGAAAGATCCAAGGCCTCTGGATGGGGCTCCTGCGTCAGGGGTCGTGCTGAGGAAGGCTTGTCTCTGTGACCACTCATTTCTGTCATCTGTCCACCAATTAGGACCAAACTGCATAGAGCTTCCATGCAATAGGCAGTTCTCAGGGGAAAAATTATCATTTTTTCCATCTCCATAATAGCTCACTGAATTAGTGTTAGGATTCTCCCTGTTTTACAAATAGGGAAAGCGAGGCACGGGAAAGCAAGGTATTTGCCCATCTTAAGTCAGCTTTTAAACAGCAGGGCCTTCTGTACCCATCCCCAGTCCCTGTGGGGAGGGCCTGTTGACAGTCATGTGGGGCAGGCAAGGGCCACCAACCACATGGGACCCTCTTCTGTTTCATTCTGGACACCCACTCCCACTGCTCAGGGGAGATTCCCCCAGGAGGCTTGTGAGCAATTCTGAAGGAACATCACCGGGCATTCATGCCTGGTAGGAACCCTCCCTTGCCATCAATGGGATGTCTGACTCCGAGGAGCTCACTCCAGAGCATGAGTGCAGATCCTCCAGACTTCCCACTGGACACAAGAGACGATGGTGGTGGGTGCCCTGTCCCCTCCTCCAGCTCAGTTTGCCCAGCTGGCCCAGCTGAACCCCCAGGAGCGCATGAGCCGGGAGACAGCCCTCCAGCAGAAGCAAGTGTCCCTGGAGGCCTGGCTGCAGCGAGAGGCACAGACTCTGCAGCAGTACCGTGTGGTTAGTGGGTCCTGCCTCCCTCTGCCCCTGGGAGGGAGCTCTGTCACCTGAGATCCAGGGCACCAGGTAGGGGACAGAGCCAGATGAGAACAGGTCCCCTGTTTCCTGGGGTGCATGTGAGGTGGAGCAGGTGGAGAGGGCCTGTGGGCTGCTCCCCAGGAGCCAGCAGGCCGCTGTGCCCTCCCTCACGCAGGAGCTGGCTGAAAAGCACCAGAAAACCCTGCAGCTGCTGAGGAAGCAACAGACCATCATCCTGGATGACGAGCTGATCCAGTGGAAGCGGAGGCAGCAGCTGGCGGGGAACGGGGGTCCCCCCGAGGGCAGCCTGGACGTGCTGCAGTCCTGGTGAGGGCTAGAGGTGGGTGGGGTGGGCGGGGGCTTGGGCAATGGTGCCAGCTGCCTCTGCTGTCCATGTTGGCCTGAGGAGCAGGCTCCCACTGTCTGACGGCTCTCACTCTATCAATGTCTTGGCTCCTGAGGGGACTTGGCTCCTCAGTCCCCTGCCACCTCCCCCAAGGGACAGTGGTGCCTTGGAATGGGCAGGGCTACTCTTGAGCTGGTTGATCCAAGTTGGGGCCACCCTGTCTGTCCTGCTTTTGGAAAGTGGGACAGGCACAGAGTAGTGGGGGCCAATGCCAGCTCCTTGGGAGGGGATGTGGCTTTGTTGGGAGGGAGGAACAGTGTCGTGTGGCCTCCTCCCCTGGCCTGTGCTGGGACAGAGGCCACTGTCCCTCTGAGGGCCCTGGGCTCCTTGCAGGTGTGAGAAGCTGGCCGAGATCATCTGGCAGAACCGGCAGCAGATCCGCAGGGCTGAGCACCTCTGCCAGCAGCTGCCCATCCCAGGCCCCGTGGAGGAGATGCTGGCCGAGGTCAACGCCACCATCACAGACATCATCTCAGCCCTGGTCACCAGGTGACTGCTGCCTCCCGGCCATGCTCAGAGGGACGTGGCTGTTCCTGGGGGTGGGCATGTTGAGGCCCAGGGTCTGTCCAAACCCAGAGCTCTGCCCCAGTCCTGCTCCTCCCCCTCCCCCGCCCACTGTGGCTTTAGTAGCTCTGCTGCTGTGGCTGTCCTGGCCCAGTGTGTGGTGAGGACACTGCAGGAAACACCATGGTGTCCAGCCTCCCTCACTTCTGTCTCCAGCCCCCATGTCCTCCCTGGTAACAGAGGCCAGGCCCCTCCTCCTCTGCCTGTCTTCCTTCCTAGCAGCCCCACAGGAAGGCCCTCCCCCCAGCTGGCCTCCCAGCTCTCTCCCCTGAAGCAGCATCTGGTCAACTGTCTGGTCCCTTGTGTCCCCTGCAGCACATTCATCATAGAGAAGCAGCCTCCTCAGGTCCTGAAGACCCAGACCAAGTTCGCAGCCACCGTGCGCCTGCTGGTGGGTGGGAAGCTGAACGTGCACATGAACCCCCCGCAGGTGAAGGCCACCATCATCAGTGAGCAGCAGGCCAAGTCCCTGCTCAAGAACGAGAACACCCGCAAGTGAGTGTGCCTCAGTGTCCCTCCCTACTGGGTTTGAGTGCCATTTCTTTTGCTCAGGTGGGGTCTGTATGGGGGCATAGCTCAACTTTTATCCCTTCCAGGCATACCCAAGAATGCATTATGGTTCTCCATGATACACTCTTCTCCCTCCATTTGCTTTCCTAGCCTTGCTCATGTCTGACACTTAGTAGGGCAGCAAGATTGAACTGCCACATGGTTCAATCATTTGTGCTCAGCAGTAGGTACACCACTGTGATCCAAAGAGCACTGAGAACTAGCCTCTTCCCTAACCGGACCACTGACCTGCAGAGCACTGCATTCAATGAGCTGTGATTGAAGGCACAGCTGTATCTCTCTCTCTCTCTCTCTCTCTCTCTCTCTCTCTCTCTCTCTCTCTCTCTCTCTCTCTCTCTCTCTCTCTCTCTCACACACACACACACACACACACACGAGCTCATGTTGCTGGTGATTGGTTGATATTGAAAGCCTGGAGTGGGTGGGTTAGCCCACTCTTGTATTCCAGTTTTTTGGATGCAGAGGCAGGAGGATCAAGAGTTCAAAGTCATCCTCAGCTCCATAGTCAGCTGCTTGGATAACAAGAGACTCCATAAAACAAAACAAAACAAAAAACCAAAACCAAACCAAACCTTGACAAAGTCAGCCAGGCATGGTGGTGCACACCTTGATTCCAGTCTTGGGAGGCAGAGAGCAGGTGGATCTCTGTGAGTTTAAGTCCAGCCTGATCTACACAGTTTCAGTCCAGTCAGGGCTATATAGTGAGACTCTGTCTTAACAAATACACAAATAAAAATCCCTGAGGAGTCCTATCAGGTCAGTAGTTGGAAAGAGAGAGGGCTTGTCTGTTTGTTTGTGTTTCAGGCAGAACTCATATGTTGAGCTATAAGAGTGTAGAGAGACACATGAGACCTAGAGACCTGTCCTGAAAAGTTATCCATGAAGCTATGCATGAATGGAGGGATACAGGAGGCTAGTCCCATCTTTGATGCCCCCGTTAAAAACATGTCTCCCAGGCCCATAGACGTCAGCTATTGACGCATGCCTGCCTAGTGTGCAGAGCGCCCTGGGTTTCCACCCTGGCACCACACTGGAGCTGGGCTGCCCTCTTCTTGCAGTGAGTGCAGCGGCGAGATCCTGAACAACTGCTGCGTCATGGAGTATCACCAAGCCACAGGCACCCTCAGCGCCCACTTCAGAAACATGGTGAGGCCAGTCTGCCTTGGAGGGGAGGTCCTCCCAGGGCAGGGGCTCGGTGGCCATTTACCCCTGTCTCATCCTGGTTTCCTGCTTTGCAGTCACTGAAAAGAATCAAGCGTGCTGACAGGCGTGGGGCAGAGTCCGTGACAGAGGAGAAGTTCACGGTCCTATTTGAGTCTCAGTTCAGTGTTGGCAGCAATGAGCTGGTGTTCCAGGTGAAGGTGAGGCTCCAGCTACCATTCATGAGGGCCAGTCGGCTTAGTGAAGGGACCCGCCCAAGTTTACTCGGCTCCTGTAGGAAAGCTGCAGGCCGAGCTGGCTGTGATGGTATACACCTGTAGTCCTGCCCATCCAGAGGACCAGAGTTCGATTCCCAGCACCTACATGGCAGCTCACAACCCTCAGTAACTCCAATTCCAGGGAATCCAATGTCCTCTTCTGACCTCTATGGGCAATGCATGAATGTGGGGCACATACATGCTAATAGGCAAAAACACCCATACAGATAAAAATTTAAAAAAAAGGAGCTGGATGCTTCAGCAGCATGTAAGAGCATTTGCTGTTCTTGCAGATGACCCAGGTTCTGTCCTCAGCACCTACACAGGATGGCTCACAAACAAAATGTGCAGCTTGTAAGATAGTCTAGCTGGTGCAAGCTCTTGCTGTACAAGCCCCGACAACCTGAATCTGAACCCTGGAACCCACAGTAGATGAGGAAAAATAGACTCCTGAAATAGTTGTCCTTTGATATCCCCATGCATGCCGTAGTGCATTCTCTCTCCCTCTCCCTCCCTCCCTCCCTCCCTCTCTCCTTCCTTCCTTCCCTTCCTCTCTCTCTCTCCCTCTCCTGCCCCTCCTTCTCCCTATCCTTATCCCTCTCCCTCTCTCTGATACACACACACACACACACACACACACACACACTTACAATAATGATAAAATACAATTTAGAATGCAGGCTAGGAATCTATCTAATTGGTAAAATGTTTGCCAAGCATGCAGGAAGACCTGGGTTTGATCCCCAGAACCATATAAAACCAAGAATAGTGGTGTGTGCCTGTAACCCAGAGGTATAGGCAGGAGGATCAGAAGTCATCCTCAGGTGCTTTGGGAGTTCAGGGCCAGTCTGGGATACATGAGACCCTGTTTACAAAACAACACAACAACAAAAAGAATATCTGATATAATACAATACAAAATACCACAGGGCTCTAAGTCCTCTTGCCTCAGTCCAGTTGCCCTGCAACTGAGAAACTACTTGGATTCTGCAGGCACCATATTACTTGGGCAACAGGCTAAGCAGAAATATATCCTCAGCTCTGTTTTTGTTTTAGAGCGAAGTCTTGTTATATAGCCTAGACTAGCTTCGGCTTCTCAGTCCTTCTGCCTCCGTCTCCCAAGAACTGGGGTTCAAGTGTGAGCCAGCAAGCCTAGCTTGCTTTGTTTGCTTACACTTAGGACTGCTGGGAAGGCTTGTGGCTGAATGGTGGGTGTGATAAGGGTTAGGAGTCTTGCTTATGCAAAGGACACACTGTTGAAACCCTTCAACTCTTACTCTATGACTTCCATAGACGCTGTCCCTCCCTGTGGTTGTCATCGTTCACGGCAGCCAGGATCACAATGCTACCGCCACTGTGCTGTGGGACAATGCCTTTGCTGAGCCGGTGAGTTCTCTTGGGCCCTCCACCTTGGCCCTTGGGCCCTAGACTTGCCCTTGGGTTAGACCAACTGAGCTGGAGGGCGAGGTGGCAGGGTGAGGTGAGTGCCTGTGTGCTGGTCTGGCTGAAGGCCCTGGGTAGGTTTTGGGACTCAGAATTGACTGGTCTCCCCAAGGAAAGGGACTGGTTTCTGGACCTGGTCTTTGCTTTCCTTTTGTCCTGGGGCTAGGGTTCCTCAGTCCCATGGTCAGGGCCTTTGCCTCTGCTGGATCCCACTGCCTACCTCTTCCCTTCTGCTTTTCTTTCCCCTTTGTGTTTTTATATTCTTTCTGGATGATTCTCAGCCCTTTCTGTCCCTTAGTCTCTGCCTGTCTCGAGTGTGTGTGTGTGTGTGTGTGTGTGTGTGTGAGAGAGAGAGAGAGAGAGAGAGAGAGAGAGAGAGAGAGAGAGAGAGAGAGAGAGAGAGAGAGAGAGAATTTCTAGCATTTCCAGCTCCCTTAGCCTGCCTTTTCTCCTCATTCTTCTCTCCCTCTCAGGGCAGGGTGCCATTCGCCGTGCCTGACAAGGTGCTGTGGCCGCAGCTGTGTGAGGCGCTCAACATGAAATTCAAGGCAGAAGTGCAGAGCAACCGGGGCCTGACCAAGGAGAACCTCGTGTTCCTGGCACAGAAGCTGTTTAACAGCAGCAGCAGCCACCTGGAGGACTACAACAGCATGTCCGTGTCCTGGTCCCAGTTCAACCGGGTTAGTGGCCAGCTTACTCCAGGCTTTCCCAGTGTTTGCCTGCCGGAGTTTCCCAGCTACCTGCCAGACACCATCAGGGTCCAGTCACACTTTCTCTTATCGTGAAGTCAGGCTACCACCCTCTGAGGCTAGCATCCTACCCTCTGCCCCAACCATACTCCCTACAATCAGGAGAGATTGGCTCTCAGACTGCAAGGATGCAAGCAGGGGCCATGAGGCATCATGTCAGTGGTTCAGTCATGCGAGCCAAAGGAGGGTGAGCGGACCCCCGAGCAGCGATCCCCTCATGGGCTTCTCGCTGATTTTTAGGCCTTGTCTGTTCTTTGTGCTTTAGTTTCACCATCTGTCTGTGAAAGGAGAGGGCAAGAACGGCCCTGATGGGCCTTCCCAGCCTAGACGAGTCTTCATAGCCTCTGTCCCCACTCACAGGGTTGGCCCGTGTGCAGAAGCGTGAGAACTTGGGTGGGTGGGTGGTGACAGCACACAGCCTGCTGGGGAGAGCTGGGAGCAGGCATGGTGGGAGCTAAGGGCACTGACTCCTGGACTGCTGTGACTGGGGTGTCCTGGGGTTCACAGGAGAACCTGCCAGGCTGGAACTACACTTTCTGGCAGTGGTTTGATGGGGTGATGGAGGTACTGAAGAAACATCATAAGCCCCACTGGAATGATGGGTGAGGAGCAGGGCCCTGGGGGCAACGGGCGGGCACAGGGTTTCTGGAATGGTGTCATCTTACCCAGCAATGACATGGAATGTACCACACACCCAGGGCCATCTTAGGCTTTGTGAACAAGCAACAGGCCCATGACCTGCTCATCAATAAGCCAGATGGGACCTTCCTATTGCGTTTTAGCGACTCAGAAATCGGAGGCATCACAATTGCCTGGAAGTTTGACTCTCGTGAGTTCCCATCTCCTCATCCTACACCCAACCCCATGAGCTCTGTCTTCCATTTCCTGACTCCCATGTCCAATGAGGCCCCGTGTCCTTAGTAATCACCCACTTCCCGGGGAGGCAGGAACTGAGCTCAAGGTATGGCGGTCATTGGGAGGGGAAATGGCACCTCTTTTGGTCTCCAAGAACCTAAAAACCACTGATTCCACAGGTGTGGGACACCTGGAAAGTTTCTGCAGCTTCCCATGCCCAGTTTGCTGTGTAATGTTCCAGATGAGCTCCCCTGCCTGGAGGAGCAGGAAGGCTGGGCTTGTAGTGCATGGAGGCCAGTGCATGCTGGGAAAGGCCCTGCTCTTTCAGCAATCCTTCCTAAAACCCCACACCACGATCCTCTTGCGAGGGCAGCTCGTGGAATGAATTGTCCCTTTCACAGCCGACCGAAACCTCTGGAATCTGAAGCCATTCACCACGAGAGATTTCTCCATACGGTCCCTGGCTGACCGACTGGGGGACCTGAGCTACCTCATTTACGTGTTCCCAGACCGACCCAAGGATGAGGTCTTTGCCAAGTACTACACTCCTGTACTTGGTGCGTCCTGTTGCCAGGAGGGCTGGGCAGGGGCATCTCCCCTGTGGGCTTTGGGTCTCTGGCATGGAGTATTTCAGGGCTCACACGTGAGGTGAGAAAGTGAAACCTGCCCCCAGCTTGTATCTCTGCTGAGCAGAAAGCGAAGTTCTCAATTCTACATCCGTAGAGAGGAGTGGAGGGGGGGAGGGGACAGCCGGGGTCATTCCCATGAAGAGTTACTTGCCTGTCCCTCTAGTCAACAGCTCTCACCACTTCCCATGCTCTTGCAACCCACCCCAAGTTAAATAGAGGAGCAGAATGGACGGGCTCTCCTTTTCTGTCTGCCTGGTCAGTTAGTGGAGTTCACATCCTATTGATGACATTTGCTTGGCAGGCATGCAAATGGCCAGGGAAGAAACCAGGAGAGGGCATAGGATGGGAGCCAGGGGTCCCAGTGGCCCTCTGGCCGAATCTATCACCAGGGGTTTATCGGAAGTACTGGGGAACTTCCATCCCTGAGACAGCTCCAGGGTGGTGTGAGCAGGGGACTGATGGCGTGCTGTTCTCACTGTGTTTCCCCCCCCCCCCACAGCAAAAGCAGCTGATGGATACGTGAAGCCACAGATCAGACAAGTGGTCCCTGAGTAAGTGTCCAGGGCCCAGCTCTGGGTCTCCTATTGCCTCTTTATCCTTTGTTTGCTCTTCCTTCAATACCGGGAAATGTGGCTTAGCCCCTGAGGAGGAAAGATTCAACTGTCCTGAGATGGTACCCAGGACTCCTAAGCCCCAGACACCAAAGGGAACGCTTTGAGCAGAAGCCCCGTCCTGGTGTCACTGGCCTCTCTGGCCACTGAGGCTGTGCTCTGCTTCCTTTCACAGGTTTATCAGTGCATCTGCTGATGCTGGAGCCAACGCCACCTACATGGACCAGGCCCCTTCCCCGGTGGTGTGCCCCCAGCCTCATTACAACATGTACCCACAGAAGTAGGTCCTGTTTGCATGGGGGTCCATGGGGAGAAACTGGGGCTTGGCCTCAGGCTGGACGCCTGCAGGACTAAGGGACAAAGGAATCCAGAGGTCCCCTGGATTTGACTCCATCCAGCCGAGGCCCAAGGTTTAGCCAGTCAGGAAAACACAGAGCATTACAAAGTTAGACAACTACGGTCCTGTCCTCATTCTGGTACAGTTTGTGTGATCCTGAGAAAATTTCCTTGCATGCACGGTTCCCTCGTGTGTAAATTAGAGGTGACAGGCGCTCCTGCCCCATGGGATTGGGACAGGAATCAAATGAGATGGGGCCATAAACTTTTACACATAGAGTTGTCAGAAGGGCTTGAGACAGTGTCACTATTGTTGGGGTGGCTATAAGGTGGGGGCAGAATGGAGTGTTGAGTCCTTTCTACACTACGGTAGCCTCGGCTGGGTGGCTGGAACTAAGGAGGCACTCTGCAGTTGGACCACCTCGTAGTGGAAATCACAAAGAGATTCTTTTAGTTTTAAAGTGTGTGTGTGTGTGTGTGTGTGTGTGTGTGTGTGTGTACCTGTGGAGGCTAGAACAGGGCATCAGACTTCCTGCAGTTAGAATGACCAGCAATTGTGCACTGCCTAGATTCTTTTTTTGTTTGTTTGTTTGTTTTTTGTTTTCCGAGACAGGGTTTCTCTGTATTGTTTTGGAGGCTGTCCTGAACTGGCTCTGTAGACCCGGCTGGCCTCGAACTCACAGAGATCCACTTGCCTCTGCCTCCCGAGTGCTGGGATTAAAGGCGTGTGCCACCAACGCCCGGCGACTATATTCTTAAGTTTTAAAAATACATGTGTGAGGGGGTGGGGTGGAGGGGTGATAACTTGTGTGAATCAGTTCTCTTCTTCCACCATGTGATTCTGGGACTGAACCCAGATCACCAGGATTGATTTGTTGGCAAGTGTCACTGAGTAGTATCACCAGCTTCTTCCTTTTTTGTTATTGTTATTTATATATATGGTATATATCTATGTGTCTATGTGGCTCTATGCGTATGTGCTTGTGTGAGTGCACGCATGTGCAGGCCAGAGGTCAGCATCAGATACACTTCTCAATTACCTTCCACCTTATTTTCTGATTCTGTCTTTTAGTGAACCCGAAATGCATCTAGTTGTCTAAGCTGGCTGGCCAATGAGTTCCAAAGATCCTCCTGTCTCTGCCTGCCCCACACCCCAGTGCTGGGGTTACAGACACGCGCTGCCACACCCAGCTTTTATGTGGGCGCTGCAGATCTTAACTCGAGCCCTCATGCTTGTGAAGCAGTCTGCTAACTGACTAAGCCAGCCTCTTTTTAAAGTTCTTACTAGCAATATGCATTGTACAAAGTGATATTACATGATGACATTAGCATTCAAGAGCTAGGCTCTGATTCTACAGGGTCTATGTAGCCCTGGCTGGCCTGGAACTCACTAATGTAGTCCAGGCTGGAACTCACAGAGATCCACCTGCCTCCGCCTTACAAGTGAATGCTGGGATTAAAGGCCTGCACCTCCACACCCAGCTAAGACCGAGGGTCTGATTCCAGCTGCAGGTGGCTCAGAACAGGCTTCTTTGCTCCTAATGCTTGTCATAAGGTGATCTGAGGGTTAGCGTTAAGTGACCAAAAGCTACCACGGTGGCTTGGCAGGTGGCGTGGGAGTGTACGGAAGCAAAGGACATCACAGGTGAATGGTAGAGCCTGCCAGCCAATCACAGAAGAGCACAGGTGAGGGAAAATGAACTCCTTGAGATCATGACATGAAGCAAGAGATATGAGTGGCAGTAGACCATCTTCTCAGGAGCCAGTGACTGACTGCCCAGCCTGGTGGGCATTCCAGTCAGAATGCCACTGGGTCCATCCTTAGGAAACTCCAGTATTTGTGGGAAGCAGACTGAGGACTCTCTATGGTGGTTGGGAACCATGAGACCCGCCAGTTTCTCCAACATTCCTCTCTTTGACAGCCCCGACCCTGTCCTCGACCAAGATGGAGAATTTGACCTGGATGAGACCATGGATGTTGCCAGACATGTGGAGGAACTTTTACGACGGCCCATAGACAGTCTTGACTCACGCCTCTCCCCACCTGCTGGCCTCTTCACCTCTGCCAGAGGCTCCCTGTCCTGAACACCGGAATGCCTTGCTTCTCCCTGTCCTGAACACCGGGATGCCTTGCTTCTCTTGGCAAACCGCCTTCGATGTGAAGAGCCCATGTCAGCTGTGACTTATCTCTGTATATACCGACGGCTCTGCACCAGTGTGTGTGTTGGTGCAATAAGCAGTATGCTGCCTTGCCTACACAGTTCTTGGTCTGTGGTTAAATCAGTGGTGGACTTTTTGTTCAGGCCCCAAGGGCCCCCTGGGTCTCTCAAGAAAGAGCTGGACCTATCATTCCAGACAAACCTATTTCCCTGTGTACTTTATCAGTTCAATGGCTACTGAAGTGAAATAATTCTAGAAAAGGAAAGGAGGCAGGGTTAGGCACTAAGCTGGAGTTTTGCTACTGAGCTAGAAACTTCACCTGCATGGGTGTATGCCCGTCCTCTTGCACATGTGGTAGCCTAATTGATGCGCTCCCTCCAGAGGGAGATGGGGGTTCACTCTTAGCAACACAGTGGGCTGCAGACTTTGGAACGCCTCTGAGTGCTTAAGCTGCAGCCATGAACACAGCAGCCCTGGGTTAACCTGAGTCAGGGCTACCACAGCTGAGTATGTCGGTTCTTGGGCTCTTACCTGTGAGCCAGTGTAGACATGGGCTTCAAGTCCGATGGCCTTGTCCACATTCCCAACATCCCTTTCCCCCATCTAATATCCTCATCCTTCCATATGGACTCAGCTTTCTTGCTTTTTGCTTTTGTTTTGTTTTGTGAGATAGGGTCTCCCCATGTAACCCAGGCTGGACATGAATGATTCTCCTGCCTCAGCTTCTGGAATGCTAGGATCACAGGTATGCACGACTATACCTGGCTTCAGCCTTTCTTCATTTCCTGTTTGCAACCTTGCTTATTATCAGAAAGGAGGGGAATAATAAATGTTGGGGAATAGACCTGGGGAGGAAAACCTGTGGTACAAGAAAAGCAACCGACCAGCATTCCTAAAGGCGGCAGTGTGCAAGGTCAGGCAGAGGCACTGCTGGGGAGGTGGGACCTGGAACAGGCCTTGCACTGTTGCATCATGGGTTGTGGTCTAGGAAGGCCTCACCAGCTCCTCCCTCTGAGGCTCTGACAAGGCAACCAGGGCCGGCTGACTAGGAGTCCCTGGTTTTAGCCTCTCTGAAAGGAGCAGAGGTGGAGCAGAAGGATTCTTTTTATACTTTGTACATAGACCTCACATTTATGTAAACAGTGTTTTTGAATAAAAGTTTTGTTTTTGTTGTTGTTTTGTAAATTTACCAGTCGGCCTCCTGTTTTAGTGGACTAGCGATTGGGTAGGGTGGGGTGATGGGCTTCCCCAGTTTATCTTGGAGTCACCTCTACTCCCTTTGCTGTGACCTCAATGATGCTGCTGTCCAAGAACAGTGTCAGAAAGCTAAAGAACTCTGTGTGTGTGAATGAATGTGCGAGTGTGTGAATGTGTGTGAGTATGAATGTGTGTGTCAATGAATGTGTGAGTGTGTGTGAATGTCCGAGTGTGTGAATGTGTGTGAGTATGAATGTGTCAGTGTGTGTGTATGAATGAATGTGTGTCAGTGTGAGAGTATGTGTGTGTGTCAGTGTGTGAGAGTATGAATGTGTGTGTCAGTGTGTGTGAGAGAATGAATGTGTGTGTGAGTGTGTGTGTGTGTGAGTGTGTGTGTGTGTGTAGAGGCATACTCAGGAACGCAGGGGCTCAAGAGTTTGGGGAAAGATGTAAGAACAACTGGGAGGGGCCCAGGGGAAGAGCACAGCTACATCCACTGAAGGGTCACTGAGGACAGCGCCAAAGTGGCGATAACTTTCCTGTGGCCAGGGCCAGCAGAGAGCCTGGACACTAGCCCATCCTTCCCTGGCCTCTTCCCAGAGTCCAGCAGGTGGCACCATCCAACTGCTGTGGTGACCCGAGAGAAAAGGAAGCTGATCTAGTCCTAGCTGGATCTCTGGCACCCAGGACTAATGTCCAGGGCCTGGGGTTGGGGCCTTGGACTCAGAAGCGCAACCCTTTGGGTTGAGAGTTGGAGCACAAGGAACTGTAAGACAGGTTACCTCAGAGCTCAAAGTGAGCTCTCAGTTCACAGCCTGCCCCAGTGAGGCCCAGGGGCCCAGGGTGGCGGTGGGGTGTGTGTGGAGGGTGTCTGCCCCCTCTCCAGCCTCACTAAACACTAATCTCTGCTTCCATCTCTGCAGGGGACGTGCCAGCATCTCTCACAGAGGCTCTATGGGCTGGGTTCCAAGCACCTTGTGTGTGGCCTTTCCCCAAGTTATTACTGCTGACTGCCCAGGGGCCCTGCAGCCACCTGCCAGGGACGTGTCTGCAAGTTGTCCCCACTGATGGAACTGAGAAGAAAGCGATAATGAGACAACTGTGGAAGGAGAGGCCTGGGCCTACACCCCAACCCCCCCCCCCCCCCGCCCTCCATCAGGCAGCTTATCTGACTCTAGAACAAACACAACAGCTTTGCGAGGGTGGAGGGAAGAGGCCACTCTGACACTTTTTTGCCACTGGACTATGATCCTCGGCTCCTGGGCTGCCTCCTCTGAGGATTGCAGCTGATATAAAATTGGGGGGGGCTGGGGGGTGCTGCATCACCTCAGCAATGAGAAGCAAGCAGAACTGGACTGCTATCCCCTTATGAACTCCTAGCTTCCCAGAGCACAAGCGGAGCAAAGGCAGCCCCACTGCCAGCAGACAGTTACTATATAATCTTTATTTCTGGAAGTTAAAGTAGTTACAGCAATATACAAAAAACAAACAAACAACAACAACAAAAAACAACCCACAATAATATAAATTTTTACATTAGAAAGTATACATTGGAATTTGAATGCAGTGGCCAGGACTGAATACAAACCACTGCACAGACAGGCTAAGCAATCTGCAGGCATGGCTGGGCTAGGCTGGGGACAGACATGGTCACGAGGGAAGGTGGGCTGTTTTGAGGACTCCATGGGGAAAGTTTCTGCTCTCCTTGGAGCTGTCATTACAGCTGGTTAGCCCAGGCCAGCCAGGTAACTTCCCAGAACTGGGACCTTTACAACACCTGCCCCAGAGAAGTCTGAGCCCTTGCTCCCTGGGTCCCCAGGCTTTAAAGTCGTCAGTATGCCCTGAGCCTTGCCTTTCTAAATACCCTTTTGGCCTGGGACTTCAGTTTATTGCATACTAAAGAATATTCTGGGGAAGGGAGAGCAATAACTGTCTCAAAGCAGAAGGCCAGGGGTAGCCAAGGCAAGCAGTTGTCTTGGAGACAATGTCCTTACCCCTTTAATTCAGACACTGGTTAATTTGAGTGAAACAAACAGAATTCCAGACACTGGTCAGCTGAGCACGGTGTCTCCGAGTCACTGAATCTAGCCCTGCCTCTGTGTCAGAGGAGGTCTGCCTTGAGCCACTAAGTGTTCAAGCAAGTAGAGTGGCGGAGGCAAGCAGGTGACATGAAGGCCACGGTAGGTGCAGGCACCCTGTTCCACCTCACCCTGGGGCCCCAAAGAGGAGCACACAATCACTAGTCTCAGGGGAAGTCAAGAGTACACCTCTCTTACAAGGGGCCGAGCTGGCGTTTATCAGTCAGCTTTTGCCCTGTGGTTACAGGTACCCCTGGGAACCAAGCAAATAGAATAAGGACCATAATCCCTGAGCTTTGCTGAGGACCTGTAGTCCAACTCAGATTCAAAGCTGTAACTCAGTCTCTCTGATCACAAGGTCCTGAGGCCAGGATTCCCAATGCAAGCAGGATAGGGGCTTTGGGACATAGGAAAGAGACACACCACAGGCAAGGTCAAGTGAGAAAGGAAGCCAGGTTGGGCCTAGGTCCAGTATGGCACCCGCAGGACAGGCTGACCCTGAAACAGGGTCCAGAGTCTTGTGGAGAGGGCAGATGATAGAGGTTTTCAGTGCCCTTGGCCTAGCCTCATGCCTCCAACAGGGGAGAATACGCCTGGGTAAATAAAACCTGGTCTATGAAGAGTCTGGGATATCTAAGGTTCTCTCTAACCTTCGTGTTCAAACCAGAGGCCAAGCCACAGCCTCAGATGTCTTTTCCAGATTTCATCGGAAACCATTTCAGGGTTTTTACACTTAAAGCACCAAAGAGGCTAGGAACCAAATTTTCTTTGCTACAGAAAAGACTATGCTGTCTCAGTGTGTTTTGCCCTTTAATTTTTGGGGGGGGGGGTTCGAGACAGGGTTTCTCTGTGGCTTTGGAGGCTGTCCTGGAACTAGCTCTTATAGACCAGGCTGGTCTCGAACTCACAGATTCGCCTGCCTCTGTCTCCTGAGTGCTGGGATTAAAGGTGTGTGCTGCCACCACTGCCTGGCTGCCCTTTAATTCTTATTACCGTTTTTTTGTTTGTTTGTTTTGGTTTGTCTTGTTTTTAATTTAAAAAGAAACCTATGGACTTAGTCCTATCTTCCATTTGGACATTAGCAAGGTTAAAAGTGCAATGCCAGGAGTCCTCAGCTGCAGGCAGCCTGGGGTATCAGCTCACAGAAATGGGCAGAAGGATGCCGTGGGCACCAGGAGGCACTTGTCTAAACAAAGGACGACGACCATGAGCTGCTGAGGAAGGAGGGCGGGCGGGGCACAGAACACAAGGCGTTTGCTTTTCTCCCTCCAGCCTCCCGTTTCACATCCCCATCGTGGACTCAGAGAGCACTTTCTTCCCTCTTTACATAAAAGCGCATCACCCACACGCACTCATTTCTCTATTTTAAAAAGTGCCCAGATTGCTCAAAGATAGCAGAAGTAGGAGATTAAAAAAAAAAATCTGGAACCACAAAGTCAGGAGTCTCAGAAGAGCTGGGGTTTGACTGCTTAAGGGTGGAACCCGGGGCAGGCAGGGGCCTCAGTCATCTCTGCAGCTCCCATCTGCGGCTCCTCACATGGGGGAGGTAGCGCACTCAGAAGTCAGATCCATCTCGAACGTGAGTGACTCTGCAGGGACAGAGAATATGCCAGTTCAGCCCCCTGATTGCAGCCGCTTCTCACAAGCCCCTGTCCCTCTGCCAGGGGCCTCAGGCCCTACTGTTAGCCAGTCTGCTGTGCTCTCCGGCCTAGGCAAGGTCAGAAAAGCCACACCTCCCTGCTCGTTACAGTGCCTTGCCCTCCAGAAGGGCTCAGTCACCACATCAGGCCCGGCTCTCTATTTCAAAGGTCTGAGGCTGCACTGGCAGTGGCGGCCTTAGCCACACAGAGCCCCTGAGCACCTGAATCAAGATAGTCACAGTGCAAAGGCTCCGTAGTAGGAGCAGAGAAGGGGGAAAAATAGTTGGAGGTCTTTCTCTTCAGGTGCTAATAAAGTGTGCTGCTTATATAAGACATCAATGTCACTTGTCACTACTGTTTCTACTGTGGCTGTTGGGAAATTACACATGTATGGCATCTATTTCCATAGGAGAGCACAACTCCAAGGCAGCCCCCAACCAGTGCAGAGGGCCAGCTCTGGTTCTGTATAGGCAAGCATCAGACAAAAAGGGGGCTCACTCTCCAGACACTCACCAAACTGCCCTCCTGCTGAGGGCTCAGCACCTTCACCGTTATTTCCAAACTGCATCAATGAATCTAAAGTGCGGGGGGACATCGGCAGGTCAATGGTATTGCTGCAGGTCGTTCTGTAGGAAAGGGGGGCGGCAGGAAGGGGAAGGACCAGGTTGACAAGACACAATGGAGGGGGAAAAAAAAGAACAAAACACACACACACAAGCCATCAAACTCTGGTCTCCAACAGAAAAAAAATAAGAACGCAAGCTTTTAAAAACACACAAGGTCACTCTGAGCACTAAACAGCCCAGGGGCACCCAGCCCTTCACAGTGGCTCTCACCCCTTGTCCTCCTACTCCTGGGGACAACTGAGGACACTAGAAATGAGTGCAAAACTGAGAAGGGAAGCCACTTACGGTGTCACACAGATGAACTTGGTCTTCAGGTAAGGGGCAGCACCTGTAGAGAGGAAGCCCAGGCTTTAACTGATTGCAAACTGCTTTGACAACAGTGCAAGAGGAAGCCTCTGCCTCTCCAGATGGCTTGAGCCAACCTTACAGAGACTGCCCAGATACCTGTCTAGCCCTTAGGGCTGGCCTCCCTTGTCACTTGCTACTTGACATCCAAGGTACTCGAAGTTTAAAGTTTTATGCTTTCCACAGCTGCAGAACTTCTGGGAACAACTGTCCCAACACCTAGCCTGCGCCAACTCTTGGGTTTCCTTCCCACCTTGCCTGAGCGTTCAGCCGCCTTGGTGTGGTGTTAGGCTTCTACTGTGACCTGGCCATACTTGTGAATTGACTTCCCTATCTGGTGACCAGTCCAAACACAAACAGGACTGAATGTTTAAGCCAACAAAGACAGCTAATGCTGGAGGCTCCAAAGCCATTTCCAAGTTAGAAAACACATCCTGGTCACAGGGGCAACAGGACACCCAGATTGGAGCACATGTGCAATAGCCAGGGGACCTGGCCAAGGTGCCTTCTCTCTCATGTGTGGGAGGGGCGGGAGAGGCAGGGTTGGCTGTCCTCCATCTCCGCCATTTATGTTGAAAATGTGAGGACTGAAATGTTAGGCAAAGAAATCAGAAAGCCCTGAGGGCGCTGGCATGAACCCTTGGGAGTTCGGTTGAACAAAGCATGTGGCAGGCCTGCAGCAGCGTGGGTAGGCAGAGAAATGCAGAGACTAACACTGGGGCCTAGAAGCGGCAAGAGGGGCACATGACAACCACCTGGGAGAAGCCATTGCAAAGTGGCCATAGATGAAAATCCAGGTTCATTTTTGGCCAAGAAACAGGCTAACTCAGCACGCAGACAAAGGAATAACTGAGGCAATTGTGCTGCCTACAAATCCAACTGTTCTGGTCCAGAAGAGTTCTCTAGCGTGCAAACTCTCCCCCTAGAGAGACAGAGGGGTAAGATAAGATAGTTAAGTAAGATAGCTCGGTGCTAAAGTTGTCTGTCGGCAAGCCTGATGACCTGAGTTCAATCCCAGGACTTACATGGTGGAAGAAAAGAGCTGACTCCCTCAAGATTCTCTGACCTTCAACAAGACTCCCTCCATCTGCAATTCACAAGTATGGCCAGGTCACAGTAGAAGCCTAACACCACACCAAGGTGGCTGAACACTCAGGCAAGGTGGGAAGGAAACCCAAAAGAGACTGCGGGGGGGGGGGGGGGGGAATGAAGGGAGGGAGAGAGGGAGGGAGAGAAAATGAGAATTTGGTTCTCCAGTGATCAAGAGAGTAAGAAATACACATTGGGCCTGAGGTAAGAGTGTGAAACACAGAATTAAGAGGGAGGAAGGAAGGAAGAAATGACCTATGCCTGTCTGAATCTGGACAAGTTATTACTGAACTTGCTCAAATCCCCCCCCCCACCCCCTGGAGGAACACAGTCTGTGGTCTTCTAGCAGGCAAGGAAGACCTGGGTAGACGCTGAGTGATGTCTACACCATAATACTCTTGCAGTAGAGGCAGAGAAGTGGTCACAGCTCACCCCTCTGAGGGGCTCAATCCTCAGTGCACCCTCCTTATGCGCACAGGCAAACCCATCAGGTAACAGGTTCCTTGCTCATGCCCAGTGCCTTGTCCCTGAGGAAGGTGTCTGGGAAGTTACAACAGAGATGGTGATGGAGATGCAGCCTCAGACCAAGGACCTGGATCTTGAAAGCAAAATTGGTCAAAAGGGTCAACACTTGGACTTCAAAGTCCTCTGGGAAAAGAACAAAGAGGAGTGTGAGAGGGGCTGATAAACAGATCTCCCAACTGAAGGCAAGGTGGAGGCAGAGATAAGGGACAGGCAGGAAGCGAGAGCTGAACTCCTCCACAGAATGAAGAGAACTCAATACCAGAACAAAGGGAAAGGAAAATAACTGTCAACAGCCTGACTCCTCCAGCCTGAGAACTGGGCATTCCTCAGAGGACAGAGCCAGGGTGAGTTGGAGTATTTATGCACAGGTGCTTTGTAAACAAAAGCATTTGGTGAAAAGTAGCCAGGGCAAGTAGTCACATTACAGAGCTCAGCATGGCACAATGATTAAGAACAGTCACAGAAAACACCAGCGGACACACCAGCCTCCTCACCAGCATGCACACGGAAGACAGAAACAATGCAGCAAGTACTAACGGCTTCAGACCAGACGGCTCTGACTCTGTGTGCTGGGGACAGCCCCAGAGACTACAGATTTAACTCAACATAATTTCTATCTTCTTGTCTAATGTACACAGTCACAGCACTCCCACAAAATACAATGCATCTCATCTTGACAGCTGTACATTCTAAATGCCAACTCCATATCCCCTCCAGTCATCATCTCCTGCAACTGGGGCATTCCCCACTCTGCTGTGGGCCCTGCCCCAAGCTGCTAACAGCCACTGTCCCAGAAAGCCTTTCCTCAGACTATCTGGCACTGCTAACACATGAAAGAGAAGGATACTGGACTCAAATATGCTGCAAGTCTTCTGGAACCCACCATGTCAGAGAGCTGTCCTCATTTTCTCTTCCTGGTGTTTTGAGGGTGAGAGGGAGGGTGTGTGTGTGTGTGTGTGTGTGTGTGTGTGTGTGTGTGTGTGTGTGTGTGTGTGTGTACTTTTGTCTTCAGACTAACAAGCTCCCTGTGAGACCTGACTCTGCTCTTCTCTCGAATCCCATCAGTCACCCTGTCAAAATACCCAATAAGCAGCTCTTTCCTATAAGCTGGACTCATCAATGCCCCACCAGTCATGTCTTTGTCTCTGCTCCAACACTCCAAGGATCTGCACTTTTCCACTTTCCCTACAAATGAGACCAGAACCATGGAAAATCAACAACTACCTGGGTCAGCTTCAGGATGCTCCTGACTCTCTGGTCGACAATACTTCCCGAATGCCTCCTCCTTAGGAATGTCAGGGTAGAGGTAGACCAGCGGAGACACCAGGATGTTGGTAGCATCCATGATCTTATATCCCATGATGATTTCAGCAAATGACATGTTGTTCAGTTGCTGTTTGGTGTATGGCTCTACAGACTGGATCTGGGTCTTGCCTGTGTTGGGACACAGGAAGGAAAGATTATGCCAGTTCTAGTGCAGTACCCAGTGGCTTGGAACTATGGCAAAGTCCAGGCTGGCTTTTTTTTTTTTTTTCCGAGACAGGGTTTCTCTGTATTGTTTGAGGCTGTCCTGGAACTCATTCTGTAGTCCAGGCTGGCCTCGAACTCACAGAGATCCGCCTGCCTCTGCCTCCCGAGTGCTGGGGCTAAAGGCGTGTGCCACCAACGCCCGGCCAGGCTGGCTTTTAAAGAAGCTGTCGAGCTGGATCACAGGCAAAACACTTGCCTCAGATGTATTAACAGGGTAGGTAGAAAAGAGAATGTGGAAATAAGATTCAAATCACACTTTTCTACACAAGTAGCCAGTGGAGTGAACAAAACAGACCGGCAGGAGGCCATCCCTTTAGAAGGAGGCACAGGCCTCTCTGTCCTCCAGGGGGCAGTGTACACAGAACAAGGAGCAGTCAGGTGTTGGCAGTGGCCACCAGGTGGAGCACATGAGACAGGAGGGGCAAGTGAAAGGCCTCACCACTGATGTCCTTTTCCACCCAAGTGAAAGTGACGCCTCCTTCCTTGCTGCTCTCGCTGAATCTCAGCAGGAAGGTGCCCGGGGGCTTCGTGCTCAGGATGGCCCTCTCCCGCTCCTTGCTAATGAAACCCATGATGTACCTGGAGCCAAGGAAAACGGATGTTGTTTGGGCTCAGAAGGTTGTCCCTGTCACGGGCTTGCTGGGAGCAGGTGACTTAGTTACACAGTACAGCCAAGTTTCAACCTTACCCTTCATTCCAAAGGGCCAAGATATACTTTTTCACAAGGTCAATGATATTGTCTAGCCACACCCAGAAGGAGAAGCCCTTGCCAGCCATGTTTTCCTGGAGAAAAGAATAATGGGAAAGCCAAGTCCACCACCATCCATACCAGCCCTTTCACGCCTGAACCTCCCTACCCTGAAATATCCTTGGGCTCCTTTATCCTCAGGCAGCTCCTATTAGCTGCTGGAGAAAGAGGTCCCAGGCTTTCAGTATTCATGCCACCCCATAACTGCCTTACAAATGAGCATTCCAGACCTGCCTCCCGGGAGATACCCATAGGAATCAACAAGATCACTTACTTTGCAAAATTTAGCCCATGTGATCTGACACCCTGAGTAGTTTACACCAGGTCCTGGAGAAGAGAAAAGGACAACAGAGGAATTTCAACCTTGATTAGAGATTTTATTTCTCAAGCAAAGTTTGCAGACATTTATCCCATGGATTTGCTCTCATGTACTTGCAGGGTGCCAGACCCTGGGTTGGACCAGCACTGATGTCCTACTGGGCTCCTACTCTTCCTTGCCTTGTGTGGTTCTGAGGACCAGGGTCACCCACTAACAAACTGACAGCTGGAGTTAGATGGCACAGTGCCTGGCCCTAGGTAAACCCTGGGAAACCTTGCCTGAGTGGCCAACCCAGACCAGAACCTCATCTGAAGCTGTCAAATTCCCACCTAAGAGCTTCTCAGCCAGCGTAGTCAGCTGCTCAATGCTCAGCCCTCGCTTTGTGGTGGATGAGAACTGCCAGCTGAGCACCTCCGCCACTTGGTCCCAGGTTCCAATCGGTGGCTTCGTGAAGAAGTTCACGTTCTATTGAGAAGAGAGAGAGGAATGCTAATGACACACACCAGGGGCTGAGAAGCCGCAAGAGAGTCGGGGTGAGTTGGGGGCACTCACCTTGGGGTTGTTGGTCAGCATGTTATACCACAGGATTGATGCCCATGCATTTGGCATCTGACAGATGTTGGAGATCACCACAACTGGCAAGGAGTGGGTCTGTAGAGATGGGGGACAGGTGGGAAATGACGTAGCAAGATAGCTGTGCTCTTGCAGCTCCAAAAGCCTCTCCCCCTGTACAGCCACAGGTTAGAATTAGCAATTATAGCATACCAGATGCAAGCTCTAAGCAGGAGGGTGACAGAAGCAGCTGAGCACAGAAAGGAAAAGAATGGCCAGTCTGGGCATCAGGACTGGCTAACTTATGAATATAATCAGTGACTTACAAAATACAACCGATTCAAAGCTAGGCCCCTAGCCTCAGACTTTCCAGAGACCTGGAAGGCAACCTCCAAAACATAAAGTATCTGTATCTTTCCCTGAAACTGAGGTGTTAGAAATCAAACATAAGGAGCCCTGCTTTTCCAGGTCTAACTTTATAAGATCAAGAAGACTGGAAAGCAAAATCTAAATGCCACGATTTCCTGTATACTGAAATGGTGGCTACTAAGATTCACTTGCCCAAACTTCATCAAATTAATTCTAAGCACTCACTAAAGACAGATTTTGAAATCATGTGCTTAAGCAAGACTTTCTTCTCAGTGGGTGGCTGTCAAGAACTTTTCAGAGACAGATAGTGAAAACTAAATACAGGCTTAGCAAACAGTCACCATGCCACCAGACATTTTGTCCTGTCACCTCTGCATGCTCACTGCCTGGTTCTGTGCAGAACTCACCTCTAGATCAATCTTGAGGCCCTGGTGGTACACCTCAGTCTCGAAGGTGATCAGATGCAGCTCCTCAGTCACAATCAAGGAGGCCTACAACAGCAAGGTCATGTCTTCAGACAATGGCACTGAGCTCTCAGCAGCAACAGAGGAAAGCAATGAGCCACGGCCTCACTACACTGAGAAGGTGCTATGGACAGTGTCAGGGACACAGCTGCACCTTCTCTCTTCAGCACAAAGACCCTCCAGGTCAGGACCCCCAAACCTGATCTTTTATTATGTGTTACATAACAAATAATCATATTTTATAATATACAGTTTCAAGGTCCAAAGAAAACCAAAGCAATGCACATCCAAGGATACACCACATGAGTGTCCATATACAAACACAGGGAGGGAGACAAGCAAACTTATTTGAGTTTCTTCTCTTCCTTCTCTCCTTCCTTCCATCCACCCTGGGTTGCAAACTCAGGGTCTCATGCATGCTAAGCGCACTCCACCAGCGAGCTATAGCCCTAGCATTACCATTCCGTTTAAGGACAAGCTATCGCCACTGAAATTCCCCAGGCGATGGTTTTCCCCTCCTGAAATACCTCTGTGTCTTACGGTTCTGCTGTTTCCTAGCTCCTCCCAACCATGTTCATGGTTGTTTCTCCAAGCTTGTGATTTTTACATGGGGAGTCTGTGAACTCCACACATGTGCAGTCCTACTGTTAGTATGTTTTAGATGCTGACCCCGTCCCCCAGTGTGAGGTATGTCTGTGGTCATGTGTAGGTCCCACTTCTTCTGTCACAGATGTAGAGTATTCCACTGTGACTACACCACAGTGTTTGGAGAGTAACCAGTGGCTGTAATCATGTACTTGCCCTTGGTTCACCTATGTTAAATCCTGAAACTGGGACTGCTGGCTTACAGAGCATGCTCATTTTTACAATGCCAAGTTACTTTCCAAAGTGACTTTAACAACCTCTACTGCCACTAGCAGTCAGGAAGTGCATCCATCTGTTTGTACAAGAATTACTTGTATGTGTGTGTGTGCGCTGTGTGTGTAAGTATGTATGTATGGTGTGTGTGTGTGTGTGTGTGTGGTGTGTGTATGTATGTGTATATGGTGTGTGGTGTGTGTGCTGTATGTATGTGTATATGGTGTGTGGTGTGTGTGCTGTATGTATGTGTGTATGGGGTGTGTGTCTATGGCGTGTGCTGTATGTATGGTATGTGTATGGTGTGTGTGTGGTGTGTGTGTTGTTTTCTTAAGTTTAAGTCTGACTTGCTGACTTACCTTCTATCTCACCAAGGCACTGAAAATGGAGCCAACTGGCAGGTGGTGGCAAGGGACTTTGGGAAGCCCCAGGCAAGGTGGAAACTTTTATACCAAATGGGTGTGGGTAACAGCTCAACAAGGGACTTCCCACTTCTGAAAGGGGGGCCAACTCCCCAACTCTCAGGAAAGTTTTCCTCCTTGAGAACTACATGGCACCTGTGACTTCTGAACATGTCCCACTGGCCCAGAGTAACCTTTCTAAATGACAGCAGCTGAAACAGCAGGCTAAGGTCTTTCATTCTGGGCCAGATAGAGAGTTCTCTCTCTCTTTCCCTCAAAGAAAACACTCCCAGATAGTTCTCAGCCTGAACAAAACTTACGTCACAATTGGCACGGCCCCCATTCCCACATCTCTGCTCCCTCAGGGTCTGGAAGAAAGGAAAAAGTGTCATGTGTGGTGTCCCAAGCTCTCCCTCTGCCACTCGCCCTCTGTGCTGAGGAGTCTGCCCACCTCCAGCCTGTAACCTACCAGATGCTTGAACTCCGCAGACAGGCTGCCGTTGTTGGATTCTTCCATGTTCATCACTTTGGTGTTTGTGCCCAGGATGTTAAATTTCCGGGATCTGAATCGTGTGAGGAAACCAACACATGAGTGACTGCTGAGCAGCCAGAGGGTAAAGCTGGATGGAGCGGAACAAAGGAGGCAGAACTCACCCTCTGAGAGCAGCAACATCCCCAGAGTCCCTGTCAAGAACACAGATGAAGGTTAACAAAATGGAAGTCATCAACCCTGCTCCTTTCTAGAACCTACTTTGACGGGAAATGCCGTTAGCTGTCCAGGAATGTTTTAGGGGTGAAATGAAACTCTATATTTACTTAAACAGGAGCCTCAATTGGGCATCTACCCCACAGCTTCTTTGCCCTTTCTAAAAAAAATAAAATAAAACCTCCATTCTGTTCAAATGGGGTGGCAGAGCCCATCCCTACTTCTGGGGGAACCCTGATCACTGCATTCATCGGAACAGAGGAAGCCACAGAGCAGGTGAGGCCGGGGTCTGCCTTGTCTCAATCAAACCAGAGAAGGGACGGTGTCCTAGGCTTTCTACTCCACAGATGTGTGCGAGAAGGCAAATGGCATTTGTTAACTGCTTCTAAAAGACACAGAGCCGTGTGGAAGGGAACCCCAGTCTACAGGTGATACACTAAGGATGAGACGGAAGATTCTGGGTTCCTGAAGACACCTGTGAGTCACTGACCTCATCGTCAGGTACTTGCCCCAACTGCATTTCCAGTTACTCAGGTTGTAAATTTCCTCATTATTTAAGCCACCTGGGTTTTCTGTAAAGGTCTATATTACCAACAACTCACAATTCCTCCCATGATGCAGCGGAAGCGCTATCCCCATGTAATCGCTGCTACCTCTGTCCCTGACTATGCCATCTTTTTATATTATGATATTACTGTTTTTATAGTCTTCCTTTAGAGTACTATTTTAAAAGGTCTTCTCAGCCAGGCATGGTGTCACATGCCTTTAATCCCAGCACTCAGTAGGCAGAGGCCAGCCTGGTCTACAGGGTGAGTTCCAGAACAGCAAGAGTTACCCAGAGGAACTCTGCCTTAGAAAAAACAAACAAACAAATAAATAAAATTGCTTCTCCATTGCTATATATGTGCCTACAAATAGAATGTTCTGGTGGGATTGTAGAAGAAAACTCATCAGCTTTAAAACAATCTTTCCAGGTATTACATTTTCAAGTCAATTATCAGCTCTCCCTCATGTCTGAATTATATCTGTCTTTTTTATATACTCTTTTTGTATTAGTGTTTATTCATAATTCATCATCAATAAATTGTACAATCTAAAATGTAAAGCCTTATAAGTGTTATACACACCTATGAAATTGATCAGCATTATCCAGAACATATCCACCACCCCAAAGTGTCCCTAAGCTCATTTGTAATGCACCCCAATCCCATACTCTACCCCACCCTGAGCCCAGAAAAACCATTACTGTGTTTTCTGTCACTACAGATTTATTTGTATTTTTAGAAATACATACATACAAACAAACATAAAACAGGCGCTCTTTTGGGGGGAGGAGACCTGGTTTCCTTCATTCAATGTAACTACTTTGAAGATTTATTCATGTTTTGCAACTATTAGCAGTTCCTTTAATGGGGCTGGAGAGATAGCTCAAAGGTTAAGAGCACTGGCTGTTCTTCCCGAAAACCCAGGGTCAAATCCCAGCACCCACATGGCAGCTCACAACTTTCTGTGTAATTCCAGCTCCAGAGGACGCAATACCCTTACACAGATATACATACAGGTGAAACACTAATGCACATAAAATAAAAAGAAATAACTAAAAAAATAGTTCCTTTTGTTTTGGTGATGAACAGCATTCCATTGTATGACAGAGTGCAAACTGTGTACTTATTCCTGTTCGTGGGCATGCCATAGGTGTTTTTCATTTCTCTTGTGTTAATACCTATGAGTGAAACGGCTGTGTCATCGAATGGTTTACTTTTCAGAATACTATCAGAATTTCTTTCCAAGTGGTGGTGTCACTTTTCTGAGCCACTGCTACATTATGCACCTGTGTTCTGTGGGTGCTTTTGCTAACATGTAAATATAGTAAATATGCCTAGAGTTTATTCTAATGGTTCATAAAAGAAAACCCTCATTTTTCACTCTGACCCATTTGAAGCTGTCCAGCTGCCATTCACTAAGCAAGTTACCCTCTCTACCAACCTCATGAGACTCATTTTAACATGTACTGATCTCTTACATTAACCTCACATCTATTTCTTGACTTCAGACTTTATTACAATGATCAATCAACACATTCTTGTCCTGGTAGCACACCCATTTAACAACTGGAACTCTGCAATGTGTTTTAATATCTGGCAAGGCAGCTTCCTATACCAATGCCTCCTATTGTTTTTTAGACACTGAGCCATCTCTTCAGCCCCCACCTCCTATCATTTTTATTTGTATAAAAAACTCTTTTGGAAAAAAGGGAAGAAGAGCAGCTGTTCAGGATAATGATTCAGGTTTGCAATGTGACTGCATTCTGGAGACCTGCTGCTTAACAGTGTGACTGTCCAATGCCACTGACCCAAACACTTAGGAATGGATACGGGGATGAGGAGGTGGCTCAGTGGTAAAGTGCTTGTTTCACAGCATGAGAACCCTAGTTCAGATCCTCAGCGTTACAAAAAATCTGGGTGCAGCAGTGAGTGTCTGTATCCCAGCGCTGGGGGCTGCAGAGTCAGCGAGTGAGCTCCAGGTTCAGTGAGAGACCCTGTCTCAAAAACTAAAGTAAATAGTGATAGAGGAAGACACTTCAAGTCTTCTGCTCTATACACACACACACACACACACACACACACACACACACACACACACACACACACACACACACAGAGAGAGAGAGAGAGAGAGAGAGAGAGAGAGAGAGAGAGAGAGAGAGAACTAAATTATCTTGCTATCTTTGCTTATTTTTTTTCAACTGCAATATAACTTGGAAAGTATTATTTATTTATATCTTTCTCTTTTTTTCTCCTTTTGATTTTTCAAGACAGGGTTATTCTGTGTAGCCCTGGCTGTCCTGGAACTCACTCTGTAGACCAGAGTGGCTTTAAACTCACAGAGATCCGCCTGCCTCTGCCTCCCAAGTGCTGGGGTTAAAGATGTGTGCCACCACCGTCCAGCTACATCTTTTTTTGTTTGTTTTTGTTTTTCAAGACAGGGTTTCTCTTTGGCTTTGGAGGCTGTCTTGGAACTCGCTTAGGCTAGCCTCGAATTCACAGAAATCCGCCTGCCTCTGCCTCCTGAGTGCTGGGATTAAAGGTGTGCGCCACCAACGCCCAGCTTACATCTTTATTTATAAGGATGGGGATTCAACCAAGAGTCTTGTACATGCTAGGTAAGTGCTCTAACCTGAGTCTTTTATTTTCATTTTTGAGGCAAATTGATGAGACCCTGAAAGGTTCTCCTGCAGCAGATGGGAACAAATACAGAGACCCACAGCCAGACATCACACAGTGTGAGAAACCTTGACCCTAAATGGGATGGCTCCATCAAATCCCCCCTCCCAGAACTCAGGGAACCCTATGGGAGGGGAAGTGGGAAGAATACAAGAGCCGAGGCGATGGAGGACGCCAAGAAAACAAGGTCTCAAAATCACCATGAGCAAAGCTTGTATGAGCTCACAGTGGCATGCTCAGGCCTGCACGGGTCTGTACCAGGCCCTCTGAGTTTACACCACGGCTTTCCATTTAATGTTTTTAAGGGATTCCTGAGTGTGCAAACAAGTGGGTCTCTGATTCTTGTGCCCTCTCTTGGGTTCTTTTCCTTCTGATGGTTTCCCTTGTTCACCTTTGATGTGATAGTTTTTGTCTTATCTTGTTATATTTGATTTTGTCATATTAAAAAAAAAACCTAGCCACTAGGGTAAAAGATTAACAGTAGATTGTCATTTATACCTATTAGATGAGGGAAATCAGTTTTCTCCAATGGAATGACATGAGGTATATCAATCACTCCAGGGCAGGCCTCATGTTCAGTAACTGACCAACAAATAATGGACTCCACAGTTTTTTTATATGTACTTTAATTTGGTTAGTTTGGTGGGTTTTGGTTTTGTTTTGTTTGTTTCTTTTGAGGTATTGTTGTATTTTGTTTTGTAGGTTTGAGGTTTGTTTCTGAGAAAGAACTTAAAGTTGGGTGGGTGCGGAGAAGGAGCAGCACTGGATGTACTTGGGGGAGGGGAAGACTATGATAAAATTGTGTGAAAATAATAAAGAATACCTTTAATCCCAGCACTCGGGAGGCAGAGACAGGCGGATCTCTGTAAGTTCGAGGCCAGCCTGGTCTACAGAGTGAGTTTCAGGACAGCCTCCAAAACAATACAGAGAAACCCTGTCTCGAAAAACCAAAAAAATAAAATAAAATAATAAAGAATACTTACTTGTCAATGCACACTTTAATTTTAAGCTGATAATTCAACTCAGGAAATTTGACCAGCAACCTATTAAAAACATATAGTCAAGGATAGTTAGTAGAATCCTTTCCATGACCTCTAGTTTATAAAAATAAAAAAACCGTAATGCTTCAATTCCTAAGAAGTAAATATATTGCTGGATGTGGTGGTGAATGCCTTTGATCCCAGCACTCAGGATGCAGAGGCAGGTGGACCTCTAAGTTCATGGCCAGCCTAGTCTACAAAGCCCTCCACCCAGAATCATCTTTGATATTAAAATTGAACACTGACCCTTCAGCCAAGAAGTACTGAAAATATCTAAGAATGTGAACCAAGCTGTAAGAGACTCACAGAAAGGTAATAAAAAGCATTTCATGAGAACTATTGCATAAACATGCTTTATAACTAGTATTCCTTTGGTTAAACCCAAAACCCAACACAGCTATTTCTGAAGGAGATTTCACAGTGCAGGGGCAACCCTCCACCATGGTGATTCAAGGAAAAGAATTTGTGGGCTCCACCTCCAACCTCAGTTAGCCTATCGCTGAGCCTTACTCCACCCCTTAAAATCCTTAAGGAGAGGACTGAACATCTATAAAAGCTCCCCCTAAAGTGTGAAGACCAGGGCCCACCTGACTTTAGTAGTGAACTGGACACCAGTCTTGATGACGAGGGGCCGGTCAGGATGCATGGGCATGCAGGGCTGCCGCTCCACCACGAAGGCACTAGAAGGGGAGGGGATAGCGTGTCGTCACATGATGTGCTGACCAGGCTTCTTTCTGCTCCTGCTTCCAAGCATCAGCTTTATATGGTTACCTTTTCATTAGGTTTCTGAAGAGCTCCACGATCCTCTCCTCCAGCATCGGCCTGTGCTGCACAATAGGGTCTCCCTTGTAGGATACTTTTTGCTGCAACTCCTCCAGCTTCTTGATTTGTTGGCGGGTCTGAAGTTGAGATTCTGCTAATGAAGTTATCCTGCCAATAATGAAAGGCAGTTCCCAGTTACTGGAGTTACTAGGAGGCGGGGGCATTAATGGAGCCGTCACTGGATTGTAAATGAATTCAAGACCAAATATGAAGAATGCTCTAATTCACTTTCCCCATCTTAGGGTGTTGAGTAGGTTTGAGCCAGCACTGCCTTTCACAACCTGCATAAGCATGACCAGGTCCCTTCGCTATGTGATCCTTGAAAGAAGACAAGGGGTTGAGCCTCATCTAGAACCCATTCAATGCTATTCTTCCATGAATCATAAAGATATAACATGATACGTCAGAATGTTGATGATATGTAAACAAAAAAGGCGAGCAGAGGGGCTGGAGAGATAGTCCATGAATTGCTATCAGGGCTCTTGCAGGGGACTGGGCTCTGGTTCCCAGCACCCACACTCAGCAGCTCACAACCACCTGTAACTCCAGTCCCGGGGGTTCTGTTGCCTTCCCCTAGCCAACTTGGGCACTGTATGCCTATACAAAAGAGCAGACAAGCACACACTAATAATTTTTTGTCTTAGAAAAAGAAAACAGTACTTAAAAATTGGAAAAGCTATGCATGGTGGTGCACGCCTTTAATTGCAGCAGTTGGAAGGCAGAAGCAGGCAGATTTCTGTGGGTTCGAGGCCAGTCTGGTCTACATAGTGAATGAGTTCCAGAGCTATATAAAAGCAAACAATTAGAAAAAAGTAAAAAATGGGCAGAGAGGGAGACAATGCTGATTACTTCTGCCTCCAAGAATAGGGAATATCAGTGTCTGTTTTCCTTTTTAAATCTAATGTCTCTCCTTTATGGTTTGTCACTAGTTTGATAAAGGTAGAAAGGGAATGGAGGACAGCTGCAGGTGTCTGAGCTGCTGGCCTGTCCTTTCTGGCATCTGAACGTCTCATTCCCAGAACGTAACTTCTTGGAGCCCTGAACAGGAAATGAACTGCTTTCAGTAAATGAACACAGTGTCGGTGACAATACAGATGGGCTTGTCACATGGACCTGTCCTGAGTGTCCAGCTTCAAGCTCCATGGAGCGGGTTCCGTCCTGCCAAGCTTCTTCTAGTTTAAGGTGGTGAGGCACACTCACTATGGGGCCTTGCTCACAAAAAAGCAGGTAACAGATGAGCACACAGTGAACAAACTGGAGCACAGGGAGAGCTCGGGCTGAGCACTGGCCTTGTGTGCACAAGGCCACGTGGGCCATCCTTCCCATCGTATGGAAGGAAGGAAGAACATGGAGTAGTTGCTTTCTGAAACTGGATTTCTAGATTCACATGTATGGTCATGACAGATGTCTATAGAAATGATCGTCGCAGAGTCTGGTGACTTGCTGCTACCACTCAATAGATTTCAGTTTCTTCTTTCACTTTATTAATTTTACATATTTCAACTTTTTCCTGCTTAACAAAGAACATATGTTGTCTTAGATTAGTAAAATAACTAAAATGGAGAATTTAGTGTTAAATACAACTAAAAGTATTGTTTAAATTTAAAAATTAAATGTTTTTGGTTTTTTTTTTTTCTTTTTGGTGTTTTACGAGACAGGGTTTCTCTGTATTGTTTTGGAGGCTATCCGTCCAGCCCGGCCTCGAACTCACAGAGATCCGCCTGCCTCTGCCTACCAAGTGCCAGGATTAAAGGTGTGCGTCGCCTGGCCCAAAAATTAAATGTTTAAAATGAGTGATATAAGCATTTTTTATTTAAAAATTTGTTAAAACGGTTAACAGTTTTAACTCTTCGACTAAATTTGAGTGTGTAAAAGAAGCCACCTTAAGGCAGGCTTGGTGATTCATGCCTAAAATCCCAGATACTTGGGAAGCTGAGGCAGGAGGATTGCAAGTTCAAGGTCAGCCTGACTAGATAGTGGTTTCGAGGCCAGCCTATGCAGCTCAGTGAGATTCTTTCTCAAAGAGAAACAAAAAAGTGCCCAGCTTAGCAATAGACTATCCAGGGCTAGGAGTATAGTGTATGCAGTTCAATGGCTCTAGAACATTTGTCTGGCACATGTCCAAGGAATGGGGTCCACCCCCAGCAATAAAAAGGAGAAACAAAAGCACGAGCAAGGAAGGCCACTCTGCAGGCCTGTGACTGAACCCAGCTCTCTAGAAGGAGAAAGCAGCCTTCCTTCCAGCTCTTACCAGTTTTCCAGGCGGTCCAGGCAGATGTTGGGAGGGCCTCCAATGCACGCGATCTGCTGCCGCCGTTTCCAGTCAGCCAGTTCTTCGTCTGTGAGTGTTTTCTGCACGTACTCCACTGCCGACAAAAGCCCGGCCAGCTCACTCACAATGCTCTGGTTGGAAAGCACAACAGTCAGAAGACATTTCCCCAGAGCACGTTTAGCCACATTCTCTAGTCAGTTCAGAGAAGGGACCCTCAGGACCCAGTCAGGTCTTCCCACAGGAGGTATGTGGTGCTGGGGAAGCTGTCCAGAACGCTTACCCTGCGCATCTGGTCCAGTGCTGTGAGCATCTGTTCCAGCTGCTGCATCTTCTGCCTGGTCACAGACTGGTTGTTTCCATTCAGATCCTGCATGTCTGATGGGGGAGGAAAGACTCCGTGACCAGGGAGAATACTCAGGGCAGCCTTCTCAATGAGGCTCCAAACCATGTGTGCACACGCAGTCCCTGCTACTTGGAAACCTGAGGGAAGATGGCAGCAGGCTCAAGGTCATCCTGCACTACATGGTCAAATCCCATCTCAAAAACAAACAAAAGGTTGTCCCACTAAGTGCCAGAAGCTCCCCCTTCTCCTACCGTGCAGTCACATGAGTGGAGTCCTGAAACTCAATGGCACAGTCTAGCTTTCAACAAATCTTAACGTCTCTAACATTCACTTGCCTCCTTGACTCTTGAGGGTTTTATAGTTGAAATCAAAGTCATCCTGGAGATTCTCTACCATTTTCATTTTCTGTTCTAGATCCTGTTTAAACAAACAAACCACAAACAGAAGGAAAACAGACTTCTTTCAGGAGAGGGAAAAGAAAGTTTTGAAGACAAGGAGAATGTGCAGGAAGGACCACAGTCTGCAGCCCAGGCATGGTTCCCTGGTCACCTGCACACGCTTCCGGACATCCTGAAGATGCTGCTCCAGCATCTGCTGCTTCTCCGTCACCACAGCAGCTGTCGGGTGGTTGGCCTGGCCCCCTTGCTGCCAAAAAAGGATTAACACACGGTGAATTCATGGAAACCTGTCATCTGATTGTCATCCCAACTATTACCTGCCCTGTTGGGAAATGGGCAGTGATGCAAGAGGGGAGGGTGCTGGGAAAACCCTGTGTTGTTCAGTCTGTCACTGGCTTTTTACCAACAGGAAACACTGTGAACCCGTTCTGCATTAAACTAGGGGCCCATAGACTGAACTAAGACATTGCCTTAGTCTTCAAGTGCTCATGGGTAAATTGTCAAAAATTAATAATAATAATAATCCAGAAAGAATTTGGAGTACAGTTCAGTAGTAGAGATTATGCTAGCTAATAAATAAATAAGTAAATAAATAAATAAATTCAGAATAGCTGATGACAGCACAGTGCAATATAGTTCCATGAAAAAAAAATTCCCAGGGATTTTCAAAATCGTGTTTCCATAGCTTCTGTCAGGGAGGAGAGGTTGCTGCCTTGAGAAGGTCAATTAGGACACGAAATGTAAAATGACAGACTTTGCAAGGGACAGAAAGTGACATCTGATGATAGAAAAGACAAGTGAAAGCTACAAGAACAAGATAGTGCTTTTGACAGTGGCCCAAGGATAAAGATCGCAGTCTTGGAGAATGCAGAGCCGAGAGAGGTATTATCCATCCAGTTTTCCAAGCTAGAAATGTTCACGCCCTCAGTCTCCCAGTCTACACTCTGATGGCTCACATCCATTATACCTGCCAAGGGCTCAAATCAGGCCCCAGCTGCTGGTTTTGGTTTTTCGAGACAGGGTTTTTCTGTATTGTTTTGGAGACTGTCCTGAAACTTGCTCTGTAGACCAGGCTGGCCTCAAACTCACAGAGATCCTCCTGCCTCTGCCTCCCGAGTGCTGGGACTAAAGGCGTGCGCCACCAACGCCCGGCAACTGCTGCTCTTTTTACTTCTATTTTCCTTTGTCTCCTGCTCTTTAGGTTTATTCATTTTGTGTGCATGAGTGACTTGCCAGCATGTATGTACACGCACCTCATATGTGCCTGCTGCCTACAGAAGGATTCCCTGCAACTGGAGTTCTGGGTGATTGTGAGCCACCTCGTAGGTGCTGGGAACTGAACCCAAGTGTGCTTCAAAAGCAGCAAGTGTTCTTAACCACTGAGCCAGATCTCCAGCTCCAGTATCTGCTTCTAAGATCTCTCACTTCCAGCCGGTTCTCTTCACTACTGCCACAAGTCTCCAAGTTAGGACTGAACAGGCCAATTTTAGAGAGATATTCTTCTCAGTTCTCCTGGTTGCTCAAATCACAGAATACAACCCTCTTAGAAGAACTTAGGAAAGCAACCCAGGCCAGACTTTTCTCTCCATTATGGGAGAGACTGACTGATAAGAAGCAGAGAAGTACCATAGACAGAGACTTTGAAAGGGCCCAGCCCTGAAGCTGTGCCTCTCCCATCTCTACTTCCTACACTTGCCTGGGGCAGGAATGAAAGCCCAGTCTCTAGAAGCTTTCTGTGGTCAGCCAGCCTTGGTCCATTCAGATGCCTAAGGAGGCGTGCTCTGCAGACTCCCCAGTTCTACCTCAGGCAGAGGTCCGGCATTAGGAAGTCCCTGTGGATCAGGCATGGCAGCTCACACACTTGGGAGGCTGAGATAGGAGGATCTAGAGTTTCCTACACTGGGCTGTGTGTTGAGACCCTGTCTGTAAGCAAGTAGAGCATGGGGGCCCATGCCTGAAACTCAGTGTCTAGAGAAACTGAAGCAGGATTACCTTGAGTTTGACAGTCCAGCCTACGTAATGAGTTCTAGGTCAGCATGGGATAAAGAATGTGATTCCATATCAAAAAGAAAGAAAAAGAAAAACGAAGACACAGGTGTACGGGGAGAGTGGTGGCACACACCAGCCATCCCAGGACTCGGTGACAGAGACAGGAGGACTGTCTCGAACTGGAAGTCAGCTGTGCTACACAGCAAGACTCTGACTCAACAACAAAAGCCCAAGGGCTGGGGACACAGCTTCCACACTGTCTAACATGCACAGAGTCCTGGTTTTGTCCTGAGCACCACATATACAGGTTGTGGTGGTGTGTACCTCTAATCCCAGCACTCAGGAGGAGGCAGGCAAATCAGAGTTCAAGTTCATCCTCAGTTAGGGAGGGGGGTGGAGAGGCTTGTGTGATGGTTTTTGTGTGTGTGTGTTTATTTTTTTGTGTGTCATTTTCAATGTATATTTAAGGCTTTGATTTAGTTCACTGTTTCTTTCATATTAAGCCATTACTATTTACTACACTACATATACAGTTGCTTGCTCCCTGAGCCCCGCCCTACACATGATTTCTCCTCAGTCTCACCTGGGCTGCCGTGGCTGCTGTCTGGAGGAGGCGAGACTCTTCCCACAGGCATCGGGCCACAATCCGGGCGATTTCCATGGGCTTCTCAAGATACCTGCTCTGTAAGTAAGACAAAAAGAGGTGCGCTGCTGTAGCTGACTAAGGAGGTATGGACCGAACTTGGCTGACTTAGAACTCACTTCTGCAGAACCTCCATGAAACAGCAGACCAAAGGCTTCAGAGTCTGACTGGAGTCCATAGGGGAAGAAAGGGAGGAGAATAGCAGCCACAGTGATGGCAGAACCACACTAGTCCATCCTGAGAGGCATGTCATCTGGTTTCATAGGGAAGTGGTTGACTTCACCCAGGAGTACTCAACTAATGTCCAAACGTTAACACTGAATACTAAGAGTCGTGTGCCTATGATGCGGAGATGTTATTAGCATACTATTATAGCATAGAATAACATTAAGCCCTTGCTTTATTGCTTCAACTGTAACATGAGAAGTGAATTTCCGGTAATGGTACCCCAGGGCCGGAGCACAGGGAATTGAGAAGAAGCTAATGACTTCTCCTTTGATTGAGGCACAAGTCAGGCTCTCATCATTTAGCCAAGTGAGGAAAGAAACACTTCCGGGAAAGAACAATACCGCTCCACTCTGTGGGGCCAGTATCTCCCACTCGGTTTCCCATCGCACCTGCAGGAACTGCTTGATTCTTCGCAGGTTGTGCTGATAGAGGACATTGGACTCTTGAAGGAATCGGCTATACTGCTGGTCAATCTCACCCAAGAGATTATGAAACACCAATGTGGCATGTGACTCTTTGCTGGCGGCATATGCCCTAGGAAAAGGAAGTGTGTGGCATGAGTGATTTGGAGAGTCTGGTGCGATAGCACATATCTGCAATCATGGCTCTCTAGGGAGGTGGAGGCAGGAAGATCAAGAGTTCAAAGCCAGCCTTCCCTGCCTAGGGAGTTCCAAGCCAGTCTGGGAAACCTTGTCTCAAAAGCAGTAACAACAGGAATCTAAAATATACGCATACAAAAACCACCATTAAGGGGTAGCTGGAAGGACATGACAAACTGATGCTATAACCCATTCATTTTTCCTCCTCTGGTTCAGCACAACACCATCAACTGGTGGTGTAGCTCAGTGACACAGGCTTGCCTAGTGTGCTAAAGGCTCTGAGTTTGATACCCAGCACAGGGAGAGGGGAGAGGGGAGAGGGGAGAGGGGAGAGGGAGAGGGGAGAGGGGAGAGGGAGAGGGGAGAGGGGAGAGGGGAGAGGGGAGAGGGGAGAGGGGAGAGGGGAGAGGGAGGGGAGAGAGGGGAGGGAGAGAGGGGAGGGGAGAGAGGGGAGAGGGAGGGGAGAGAGAAAGAGGGGGGGGTCAATTGTCTGTTTGTTTTTCGAGACAGCATTTCTACGTGTAACAGCCCTAGCTGTCCTGGAACTATTTTTGTAGACCAGGCTGGCTTTAAACTCACTAAGATCCACCTGCCTCTGCCTCTGGAATGCTGGGATTAAAGGTGTGCACCACCAACGCCCAGCTTTGGCCCTTTTTTTCTATTGGTTTGTTTGTTTCATCTTATTCCAGTTTGTTTTGGTTTGTCTTGTTTCATTACTGCTTTTTAGTACCTGTTATCTTCTAATGAGAGAGATAAAGGGTGAGGATTTGGGTGGGAGGAGGATTGGGGAGGATCTGAGAGGAGTTGGGGGAAGGGAACCTAGTCAAAATATATTATATTTTTAAAAAATGCTGGACATGTTAGCACATGCTTGTAATTCCAACATTGATTGGGAAAACAGAAATAGAAGGTTCCCTGAGGGCCTTCCCTAATTGGTGAGATCCTATCTCAAAGGACCCAGAAGGCATTCCCAAGGATAAAACCTGAGATTGTCCTCTGCCCTACACCACGCATATACATACATACACACCCCATACACACACACACACACACACTCATGCATACATCTGCATCTATACAAACACATACACAAATACATACATACACACATGAATTTAAAAAAAAAAGAACAGATAAGGTTGTTTTGCCTTAAATTCTCCATCAACCCTGTGGTCAGACTGGTGTATAAGTTTTTTTTTTTTTTTTTTTTTTTTTTTAACTAAACAGGGTTTCTCTGTATTGTTTTGGAGGCTGTTGGACCAGCCCGGCCTCGAACTCACAGAGATCCGCCTGCCTCTGCCTCCCGAGTGCATTATCAGCACTGCCAGGCTGGACTGCTCTGTGTCACCTTTTTGGCCCTTCACTACATCAGCACAGGTATTCCTAGAAGTAGATCACATTAATATAGGCCTGAATACATTAAAGTGAGCTAAATAGCTGGCATCATTTCCTCTATTACTCCATTTCCCTTAACCGGTATTTCTTCTTTAACAGGGGAAAGCCACTTGTGGTGGACTCCAACTTAGCTATCTGAGACAGAATTCTCAGACTAAGAATCTGTATCTCACAGTTAGGGAGTCAAAATGCAGAAATCTCACCAAGTAAGTGAGACACAAATCTGACTTCCAAACAGCTACCAGCAAGCTGTCTCAGTGCACTGAAAGCCAGGATGCATATACTCTTCTGACACACAGAACATTTTAAGGGACTGATGACCTCCGCTCTCCTGATCCACCCCCTAGAGCCTGCACTCACGTCTTTGATGAAAGGGTTAGTAGAGTGTGACACTAGAAAAGGTCCAGTCCCCTGACTCCTCCCCAAACCTCCCAGTTTAGGGAGTTTCCCAAAGAGGATTTACCAATCTTGACTTTCAATCCAAGGCGCCAGGAACTGCCGAAGCTCCATGGGGAAGCTGTCGCTGTAGAGCTGGTGCAGCTGCTCCAGGTACCGAGTGTCCAGCTGCTGGAGCTGGTTCCATTGGGCCATCCTGACACAATCAGGGGGCGTAACTGTAAGCCAGAATATATGTAAGGTCACCACGAGCCCTCACAGAGGATAAAGAATCTGGAAGTAACTCAGTAGCTTTGAGAAGGATCTTGAATGTTGTTTGTAGTCTTTTGAATAATACACACACATTGACAATTCCTACCATCACAGCTCTCTCTGCCCCCAGATGCTGGGGATTGAACCCAGGACCTAGCACATGCTATGTAGTTCTCCACCACTGAGTAAATCCCCAGGCCCTCGATATTTTGCAACAGGGTCTCAGGATAGCCTTGTAACTGCTTGGATTTCAGGCATGAGCTACCACACATGGCTGTATCACAATTCCTTTTAAATTGCAATCAGGCGTGATTCCAAGTTCTAGAACCCATTCTCAAGCCAGGCACAGTGGCTCCTACCTGTAATTCCAGCACTCCAAGGATATTCTCATGGAGAGTTCAATACCAACCTGAGCTCTATATCTACATAGTAAGTTTTTTTTTTTTCAAAATAAAAAACAAAATAAAAAAGAGGGCAGGGGACGGAGCCCTGGCTCAACAGGGTAGCCAGCATACTTGTTACTCTTGCAGAGAACCCAGCTTCAATTTCCAGCACCTACACGGTGGCCAACAACTATCCATAACCCCAGCTCCAAAGGATCTGACACACTCTTCTATCCTCTGAGGGCAGCAGAAAGGCACACAGCACACATACATACATGCCGGGAAACCACTCATACACATAAAATAAAACTAAAAGAATCTTTTAAAAAACTGACCAAACAACAACAAACCTATTATCTACCAGAGGCAAGTGAGGTTAACAAATTGGTATGTGAAGCTGCAGGATTTCTTTCTTCTGGCTTTATATTTCTATTTCCTCATTTATAAAATGCAGATCATTACTTCTACCCCTCAGGGCCACTGAAGTAATATTTCCAAAGCCTTCGTGACTAAGAGCACAGCGCCCAGCAGATGTTCAACATGTGTCAGTTCCTTTCACATCACACTGCAGTCAGGCCATCTGTGAGGCTACACACAGTACCCTGCACTGAAATCAAATGCATTCTGGGTGCTGAGGAAGGACAGAGAGCTGCAGGTTTACGAGAAGTGGCAGGTGCCTGGAATTCGCCCACTTATAAAAGGAATTTTTAAAATAAGGATTCTAAATAGGGTTTAAAAAAAAAAAGGAGAACTAAATGCCATATTAAAAAGTTGATTCAGGACAAGTCCACTGAAATGCTCAGCTATAAGAAAGCAACCCAGCTAACCACTCATGAAAATGTCTCTCTAGAACAAGTAGTCTTACGATCTAAAAATAGCCATGAGTAAGAGCCCAAGATTAGGGAGTGGTATGCGCACAGCAAACACTAGCTGGAATAAAAGCACAGCCTGCCGGAGCCCATGTTCCAGCCTGAAGCTCTGTGACTGTCTGTGTGGTGCCCCGAGTAAGAAACCAAAAGCTATTAGGACTCTCTGACACAAAGACCATGTCAGGATCAGTGTCCTCACAGGTTAAAGGCATCACTGTTGTCCTGTGGTTTTCAGGACACGATTTGCATGCAATCCTCGACAAGCTGGAGCTGGGAAGATGGCTCAGTTGGAAATGTGCTTGCCTCACAAGTGTTGAGGAGCTGAGTTGATTCCCAGAATTCACACATTAATAAAAGCTGGGTGTGGTGGTATACGCCCATAATCCTAGTAATGGCAAGATAGGAGGTGGAGACCAGTGGACCCCTGGAGTTCAATGGCCAGCTAGTCTAGCCTGCTTGGCAAAGTTTCAGGCTAATGAGAGATACTGTCTCAAACCAAAGGCAAAAGAAATGACATCCACAGTTGTCCTCTGACCCAGACAGACAGACAGACAGACAGACAGACAGACAGTGTCCTCTGACCTGCACAGACAGACAGACAGACAGACAGACAGACACACACACACACACACACACACACACACACACACACATGCCTATACATGCATGAGCATGCACACAAAGATAATCTATATGCCAATTATGTCAGCACCACTGCACAGGACTGTCTTGAATCACAAGACTCCACTGTTTGGCATGAGAGATACCAATCACATGTGGCCACTGAGCAATGGAAATGTGGATGATTCACACCCGTATAGGCTACATCTGAAAACATAAGAGGAGCCAGGCGTCGATGGCGCACACCTTTAATCACAGCACTTGGGAGACAGAGGCAGGCAAATCTCTGTGAGTTCGAGGCCAGCCTGGTCTACAGAGCTAGTTCCAGGACAGCCTCCAAAACAATACAGAGAAACCCTGTCTCAAAAAACAAAAACAAACAAACAAACAAAAAAAAACAAACAAAAAACCATAGTAAGAGGAAGAATGTGCAAATATCAATGTTGAAACATTATTTTACCCATTTCTTTTTATGTTTAGTACAGCTACTAGAAAACTTAATAGGCTGTGCATGATAGCACATATCTTTAATCTTAGCATTTGGGGGCACTAATTTTGATGGCCATAGTGACATGCACCTTTTATCCCAGCAATCAGGAGGCAGAGGCAGACGAATATCTGTAAGTTCAAGGTCAGCCTGGTCAATGTAGTGAGTTTCAGGACAGCCAGAGCTGTTATACAGAGAAACCCTCTATCAAGAAAAAAAAAATTTTTGTATTTTTTCTTGGTCCAACCAAGATAGGCAATACTGTCAAACCATTTTACATGAAGGAAAATTATTCTGAATTAAAGGCAAAGAGCAGGTGGTATTTCCAGGGAAAGAAAGCGTGGGTGTGTGTGTGACATGGTTTAGCCCTTAGTGTCCAACAGCTATGACCTTACATGCTGCTTAGTTACAAACTGTGTTAATTAGCAGTCAGCACCGGGCAGTTGGACAGGATGTTCTTCACAAGAGCCACAGATCTGCTAGAGCTAACTAGCCAAACTGTCTAGGAAAACCACTGCCAACTGGCTTCCCTGTAATTGTTTTACTGGAAAACATTTAAAAGAGTCACTTTACAATCTCAATTCTGTTTTTCAAATTACAAACTGATTTAGAGGCTGGGGATGTTGCTTGGTGGCACAGTGCTTACACAGCATGTTCAATCATCAACACCACAAGCACCAACAAAAACAAAACGCCCAGATTAATCCGAATGACCCCACTAAGTTTTTTTTTTTTTTGAGCAGGGTCTGGCTTTGTAGCCTAGACTGGCCTTAAATGCCTGATCTCCCTGCCTCAGTCTCTGAGTACCAGGACTATAAAGGTATACCACACCAAGCCCAGCTTCCACTAAGTTCTGACTAAAGCATTTTTGTCTTTAAAATCACTTGAAGCCTGTACTTTATCAAATGCCAGAACACACAAAGTGATCTGCCCAACAATTTGAATGTCAAATACCATCCCGGATGCCAGAAGAGAAATCGTGTCACTGCTACAGTGGCTGGGTTAAAGCAGTACACAGGGTTCCTGCTCCGCTGGCTTTCATGAAGCTTCGGTGAGTAAATCATCAATGTGAATTACAAAGGAAGGAAAGGTAAGGCGTGTGTGGCACCTTGAATGAAAATGGCCCCCATAGGCTTGGATGTTTGCATGATTGGTTATCAGTTACTAAAACTGTGGGAAGGATTAAGAGGTGTGGCCTTTGAGGCTTTTAAAGCCCACATCAGGTCCAGTCTCTCAGGATATAAAGCTCTCAGCTACTGCCTCAGGGCCATGCCTGTCTACTTCCTGCTATGAGGACCACTGACTGACCCTCTAAAGCTGTAAACAAGCCCCCAATTAAATGCTTTCTTTAGTAAGACTTGTTTGGGTCCTGGTGTCTCTTCACAGCAACAGAACAGTAACTAAGTGTGAGTCTATTTTCTTTTTTAAAAAAGATTTATTTTATGTAGATGAAGATTTTGCTTGCATGTTATGTATCTGCACTGTTTGCATGCCAGCAAGGCCAGACATGAGCATCGGATCCCCTGGAACTGGAGTTAAGATGATTGATGAATGGCAGTGTGGGTGCTAGAAAACAAGCCTACAAGAAGAAGAGCTCTTAACTGCTGAGCCATCTCTCTAGCCCCTAGTGATCCTAGTTTCTATAACAAAAGAGAAAAGGAAAATGAAACATCACGTCACCAAAGACTTTCTAGACTGCTCAAAACAGGAATTTCTTAGCCCCTTGGGGATAACCTACCAATAGTAAGTCATAAGGAAAATAACTTGAGTCTAATGAGGAACTTCTTACCGGAAAGATTACCATTAAAGGAACAGTCTTCATTTGTATAGTTCAGTCAAGAGAAACCAAGGGAACTACAGGGGATTACACACAAATGGGGTTTTATCACACAACCTGGTAAACTTTCTAAATTAAGCCCTGTATTCCACATATAAGGACTTATGGTAGAGGAGATGGAAGATGAAGAGACAGACAAAATCAAATGTATACAAAAACTCAAAATAGAAAAGTGATACAAAGTAATTTCTAAAGGTGGGTGTAATGGGACTTGCCAGTAATCCCAGCACTTGGAAGGCAAAACAGGAGGCTCAGGAGGTTAAGGCCTGCCTCAGCTACAACAGTCATGTTTAGTGCTGGCCTGAGCTACATGGGACCCTGTCTTTTAAAAGAAAGACAATTCCTGCTCCATTTTTCAATGTGTCAAAAAATCTTCTTTAGAGGTCACGTATGTGGCCCTGGCTGGGTTCAACCTCACAAAGACTTGCCTACCTGTGCTTCCTGGGTGCCAGGACTAAAGGTGTGAATCACCATGCCCAACATGTTAAGGGGAAAAAACAAAAACTGATGTGTTATCCATAGCTGGTGTAGATGGAATATGCACTATATATGATCTTAAATATTTCAGATTAAAGGAACAAGAGCATAGAAAACCTTTGGGTTGAAAGTGATACAGTCAGACAAGCTTTGTCAACCACTAAGTCCATGGTTTATGTTCAGAGCCGCCTAAGAGTCTGAGCTCTGGATAAAAAGCAACAGGGGACTAAATTTGCATAGAGGTCACCTTCCCCAGGTTGTGATTCTTCCAGTCCCCCAAGCAGACATATCC